CACCTTGCTGCCCTTAGGATTCTTTCTTTGCCATTCAATTTTGCCAGTTTCACTACTATATGACTTGCAGTAAGTCTTTTTACAGTGACATATTTAGGACATCTGGCAGCCTCTTCCACATGGATTTCCTTCCCTAGGTTTGGGAAGTTCTCTGCTATTATTTCTTTGAACAAGCTTTCTACTCCATTCTCGTTCTCCTTTGGAATACCTATAATTCTTATGTTGCACTTCTTAAATGAGTCTGATATTTCTCGGAGACTTTCTTCATTTCTTTTTAGTCTTAGTTCTCTCTCCTCCTCTATCTGGAGCATTTCAACATGTCTATCTTTGATCATGCTGATACACTCCTCTATGGTGTCTGCTCAAGTATTCATGGAATCTATATTTTGTTTTATTTCTTCCATTGTGTCTTTCATCTCTAATATTTCTGATTTTTTCCTTATAGTTTCAATCTCTTTTGTGAAATAGCTCCTGAACTTGTTGAATTGTTTCTCTACATTCTCTTTTACCTCATTGAGTTTTTGATGATAGCTTTTTTGAATTCTTTGCCATTTAGATTACACAGTTCTGTGTCCTCAGGACTGATTTCTGGGTGCTTGTCATTTTCTCTCTGGTCTGGAGATCTAATATAATGTTTCATATTGCTAGAGGGAATGGCTCTGTCTTTTTGCATCCTGGTGTTATTTGGTGGCAGTTACCACCCATCACCACTGGGTGGGGGTCCAGAGCCACGTATTTTGAGCCCTCTGTCTTCAGAAATCCCAGGAGCTGAGGCCATGCTGAGTTGGTGGTGGGAGGGGCGCTTTCTCCTGCATGCTCTTGGGGTTTTCTCCCTCTGCTCTTGCTATCTGGTCTCGTGGGGTGTTGACTTGATAAGATCACCCCACCGCGAAAGTTTTTGCTCTGGTAGACGGCTTCCCTCTAGGCTGCAAGGGCTCTCTGAAGTCCTTGATGTTTCCGCAAATGAACGTCCCCTCCCCTGTTCCTTCCCTCTTGGAGGCTGCCTGTGGTCCTGGATCACAGTCTTTAGGGGAGGGTGTGAAGTTTTCTCTTACCCCATTCATCCTCCTCTGAGGGGGAGTGCAGCTTCTCTGCCCTCTGTCATATTGCTGTGTGAGTCTCTCTGACGTTTTTTGTGTTGTGTTTGGATGTCCTCTGTTGGAGTATGAATGTTCTTTTTGTCATATATTGGAAGGGAAAGATTACTGGGAAAACTCACTCCACCATGATGCTGATGTCACTCCTAAGCTACCAGGGTTTTTTTTTAAGGCATAAACCTGGCCACAGAGGCTCCCAGAGCAAATCCTCCACCACCTCTGCTCTGGCTTCTGCAGTCCTGCTTGCCCCCCAGCAAGCTCCCTTTCTCATCACTGCCTCCCCTTTTGCCGACCTAGAAATGGATCTGCTCCCTCCATCCCCAGTGTCTGCGAACAAAATGCATTTGTGAGCATTTTAAGCTTGCATAAAGCTAGGCAAATTTCATAAGTTTAATTCTACTCTTTTGAAGAAAAACAATTTAAAAATTAGTCACTAGTTCAGTCCTCTTAATATATTTTTGTTCTCTGGCAAATTTTAAGAAGCAACAGTACAGAAATGTCACTTTTATGGTGTGCTGAAGATAAAGATCTGCCCATAGAAAAGCAGTTTGTAGTCAAATACACAAACAGGTACTCAGATATGTCACATACACTCTTCCAGTCTTTCAGATGTGAGAGAAAATTAATCAGGATTCTTATATTTTACTAAGGGGAAGGAAGACCTATTAAAAAGATCTGAGATAAATACACAAAGAATGAATAGTTCTTTCTTAAGTTAAAGAGAAATTAAGAATGAGTGAATACTTCAAAAACATTTTGAATATTAATCAATACTTATAATATTCATGATACTGCTAGACCTTTATACAAAAAATGGGGGTAGAATCTAAACTTCCCATGAACTGTCCTGTCCTACCTGGATGTCAAACTACTGCAACTCTTTCTCTTGCTCCTCTCTCAAGATGACTTATTTTGCATTGACTTCATCTTTACCTCCAGTCACTCCTCTTCCCATACTTCCCCTAATAATGTTTTCTACTCTAGGCTCTCAATCATTTGTAGATTTCTTGGGCAGACAACAATAATTATTGCAAAACAGAAAGCATTCATCATTGCCGACCAATGGGACAGGGACTAGATGTCTAAAGAGATTTTCAGTAGAGGGAGATGTGAGGGGAACTGGAGCCAAAGGATAGGGGTCTGTGGGCTCAACCCTGAGGAATAGATGGTTGTAAGAGAGACTTTGGAAAGAAGAGGCGAGAGCATTCTAGAGAGGAAATGTAGTAATGGCTTAGAAGTAGAAACCAGTGCAAGTCCTCAGAGAGCCAGCAAGGTCAGTTTAATTTACACAGTTAAAGAGGAGAGTTTCGGGGAGAAGTAGATCAGGTGGGATTGGGGAAGACCGGGCCTTCAACATGATCTGACAGTAAAAATAAAAACAAATACTGCTAAGACTTTTTGAGTACTTCTATATACTAGCCACCATGCCTAATGCTTTACATATAATATGTCATTTAGTCGTCATAGCAAACCTATAAGGTAGGGATTATGCTAATTTTGCAGGTGAGGAAACCGAATCTTAAGAGAGGCTAACTCACTCATCCCAAATCACTCAAATGATAACTTCAACTTCAGGTGCCAGGATGGGAATCCATTTAACTGATTCCAATGTGTGTTTCTTTTCCACTATACCTGGTATACTGGTGGCAGAGAGAGGTAGATTAATTTCTACTGGTATATATCTGAGAGGTAGAACTGGTAGGCTAAAAGGGGAAAGAAGTGAATGACTTATAATTTGAGCTAAAAAACAAACGAAACCAATAATTAACAGCTGGTAAAGAAAAAAAAACCCTTGTACTAAGGGCCAACAACAATTTACCCTTCATTAAAATTTTATCTTTTGCATAAAGATAATATACAAAGATTTGATACTGCATAAAGATAATATACAAAAATTTAGATAAAGCATGCTCAAAATTTAATTTAAAAAATTAACTAGAAACAAACTTAAACTCTCAAATTAAGAGAATTACGACATGTAATAGGACATTATATAACTGTGAAAAAATATTTTTGAAGCATTTTTAATAACATAGAAAATCACTTAGGCTATACTAAGGGGATAATTATAATATAGCTATAATTGAGAAATAAGGGGATATGAATTATTTGGCTAGTGAAAAATAGCAAAAAACAAAAAACAATGGAAGAAAATATGTTAAAATGATAGAAGTAATTATATCTGGGTAGAAGGATAACAGGTAATTTATTTTCTTTATATTTTTTCCTATAAATTTCAAATTCACCACAATGGGCACATATTACTTTTAAAATCAGGAAAAAAAGCAGTAACTAGCAACAAAAGATTTCTTTAATTTTCTTTTCATCCAATGACATCTTCTGTCTTGACTCTTTTCCCCTCTTCATTCTGTCCAGTTTCCACCCCAATATTTCAGGTGGAAACGGGCATACTCACTATATGTTTGATGGTCCCTGCACAGTGGCAATACTGTGCAGAAGGGCACCAGGCTAATACTTGTTTCTCAAAGGAATTTAGGATTGTGGCTAAGTACACAGGCTTTGAAGCCATACAGATTTGAGTTTAAAATCTTCTCTTGTAATTTACTTACTGTGTGACCTGAGGCAAGTTTCTGAGGTTAATTTTCTAATATGCAAAAAGTAATAAATGATATTTTCTTCACACAGGTTGTTATTAGGATTTAATAAGCTAATAATGTAATACACCTGGCACAGAGAAAAAACTCAATAAAAGGAAGTTATTATTTGGGAAGTGCTGTAACCCTTATGCTACCCAAACTAGATTCATATTTTTGTCCAAATCAGGCTAAATATGGCCTCAAAAGTGAAGTGGCAGTAATATGTATGTTCCTACTCTACATCCTAAAAGAATGTGAATGGTTGAAGCCTCTCTACAATTGAAATCCATTTCCTTCACTGCACTTGCATATTGTGTTATTTTACTTGCTCAATTTCTGTATCCCTCACAAGACTTGAAACTCCATGACCGAATGTGTCAGTTACTCTCATATAACAGAGCCTCGTATAGTACACTGGAATGGTTGGTCCTCAATAAAAGTTTGTCAGAAAGACAAAACTTCATATTCTCCCAGCTGCAAATCTTGTATCTGTGTGTCTCCAAGTATATTTTGCAATACTAAGTACTGCCAGTGGAACAGGGAAACTAAAGGTGACAAGCACTTTTAGTCCACCATAGAACACTGCTGTCATTTCCTTTCCGTCTACTCCATCTAGCTAAGCCTAGAAAGAGAAGTCTAGTTCTGCCAAGAGTCTCTCAACATGAGCATTCAATCAGGACACAGTAACAACATACTGTGCAGCACTCTTTTCTAATTCCACATTTCAGAAAAGTGGCCATTCTAAATAGTAACTTTTGACCTCCTCAGAATTGCTAGTGTACATGGAAGAGTATGGTAGCACTTCCCAAGCATGCCACAAGAATAATTCATGCAATTAAAAGCAAAAAACTAAACACTAAGTTCCTCATTTCTCATCTGAAGAAGGTGGGTCATATATCTTTCCAACAGGATTATTGTGAGGATTAATGGAGACGGGGTGCATAAAGCACTTAAGACACTAGGAAGGACTGAATTAACAGTGTTATTTTTATTAAAACGCAATCCTAAAGTGAACACCATGCAGGTGCATGAACATACTCCTGTGTGAATTAATTTTTGAATGGAAAAATTGCCTAATAACTTGTTTCATATTAAGATTACTCTGTATTGCCTTTCTGTTTTAATCTTCATTTACATGAAATTTTATTAAGTAAAAAAAAGTTTAAAATCTTTATAATTGAATTTTAACTTAATATCTGCAATTGTATAATTTAAATTGAATTTTATTTTTTATGACAGAAAGTTATCAGAAACCCAACTAAATCAAATTATTAACAGGCATTCTTTAAAAAACTATATATTTTACCTGGCCATTTCCAAGCAGAGATATATCTTTCTCCATTAGAAAATAGGATCCAAAAAAGAAAATAAAGGCATGACTGAAACCCAGGATGGTCCAATAAAGAAATGTTTTAATGCTTAGTTGACGGTTTTTACTAATGTCTCTGTAAATTAAAAAAAAGAAAAGAAAAAGAAACACATTAGGACTCATCATTTACCCACTAAATGATTATTACAATTTGATAATTAAAAAAACAAGATGGATTTTTAATTCAAAATTGCTTGAAAATATTAGCAGAAAGAATAAATCCAAATTTATAAACCACTGCTTATAATAACATCTGTGTAACAGCTTATAGTTCACATAATATATTTAAATACATTTTCTAATTTGATAAATATGATAGGCATAATACTTCAGTTTAATGGTGAAAAGTTGATTTATCTGTATTATATTCTATTGTGAACATTCTGCCACTCTGCCATGATTGTTTCTTTTTAGTGAAGTCATTTGAGTTAGATTCAGCACTGAGGCTCCTAATTGACTTCATGTCCATCAATAGATATTATGGAAAGAACAGTCTGTGCCAATCTTGGGTCAAGCCCAGTCCTAGACATCCTGCGAAATCAAGGAATCTTTTGCCATTTCTGGATAACTGACAGCTCTATAAGAGTGGGGATCAGGTTAATGTGGGAACTACCTGAGGAATAGTTCCACATCTCTGTGATTACTTGGTTCAGGGGATGCAGGAATAATCCAGGGGATTTGGGACAGGAATTAATGTCCTCAACCCTGCATTTTGCATTGATTACTACTCATAAATTTCACAATGCTAGAACATGAACTAATTTTTTAGGAACTCTAGAGACAACCAATTACTGAATAACTTCTTTTGTGCACATGAAACAGAATATTGCTGGTTTGCAAGAGTAAGTGCAAATTACACAATCGCCCAATGCATTCCTAGGATGAAAGTGATCATTCCTAAAAACACTGGAAAAATTCTTCAAAATTCCTCTTTGATGTTCAACAATTACTAATCATATGACAACTAAAGTACTTTCGTCAGTAAAGTATTAATCACCAAGACACTTTCAAATGTATTCGCTTATTTTTAAGGTATTTTTAGAAATTGGTAACTATGTAATAAACTACTTGCAATCATAACTGTTATGGACATTTACTACTGGAAAATACTTACCGATACAGGGTGGGCTTGTTCTGTAAAACGTGAGGGTCTATATGCTGTTCCAATAGACTATATGTCAGAATAGGTAGGGAAGTAAAACAAATATTGTATAAAGTCAGGTACACGCTGTCATACAGTGTCTAGAAAAAGAAATTGGTAGGACTCTTGAGATTCTAAACTATGTATTACTACTATGCATATCATCACAAAGCAGCATATTAAAAAAAGGCATAAAAATTATGTAATCTGCTCAATTGACACAAAAATCCATTTTAACAATTCCAATTTGTTTCTTATATAGACATAAACATATAATGTCCCTAGATTTATATTCTTTGTGGGAAATGGAACATTCTGTTATGTCAAGTGATCCTGGAATTATAGTGAATTGAATCTGTATTTCAAGATTCTCTACAATTTGGTCACTGATGTAATTTTACACAATTCTCCTACATGTATCCTAGACTTCTTACTATTCCTTTGATATGCTACACATATAGTTCTGCTTTCATGGCTTTGTCTTCCCATCTAAGTCCCATATTTTCTTTAAGGTATGATCCAGGAGACTTTAAACATTGGCTCAAGTCCTTGATGATAGCTTCCTCTTCTCAACAGTCATATGTGCTACTGCTGGTATGAATTGCTTAGCACTTTGCCTATGCTTCATATATTGCTTTTATAATACTCTCTCTCAAATTATACTATAAACTCCCTGAAAAATCTAATCAAAATAGGTTGTTTCCTTTGTCATACGCTCTTAAAACATTCTTTATTTTATTCAAGTAAGCAAACATTGTTAATGGCAATCAATGCCCAAGCAAATATTTGGAATTTAGAGTTACAGGTTGTAAACAGAGGCGAAAATAGTGCTTAAGGATAGAATCAACTCATGAGAAACCTAAGATAGTTAAGCTCTTGTTATTTCGATAAATTAGAACGAATGTCTTGATCAATTAGAGATGTATAGTCTGGTATGTAAAAAGGGTGCTCAGTCAAAAACAGGTCTAAGTATGATTTAGTTATTAACTTAGCTACTATGTGATCTTGGGCAAGTTACTTAATCTCTGTGGATTTCAATTTCCTTTTCTATAAAATAAGACAGAGCAGGTAAGAAATGGCAAATATGTGACATGTGTACAACTAAAGACCCACCATGTGTTCATTACAGCTACTGCTAACCAATTATGGGTTTTTTTCCTGAGCCTATAGCTTCAGAACCCTTTTCAATACAGCAGTCTTGGTGGCCTCTAACAATTATTTAGAGTTGGCTTCTGAGATGAAAGTTAGATGTCATTCCTGGACTCAATCATTAAAGTTCCTTCCAAATCTAAAAAAATTCTATGAGTGAAAAGATATATAATGATCTAATCCCCCAACAGTTATCTGGCCTGGCTTGACAGGGATTTTTACAGAAATATTACATGTAAGTTGAAAAAAGTTACCAAAATTCTCTCATGACCTGTAAAAAGTTAGTATCTATTTTTCAAAAGGCATCCAAATTAAAATATATTTTGATATTAACACTCACTTCAAAGTGAAAATCAGAATAAATAAATATTATGAATGCCATACTAATTAAATACACTAATTAGAAAAGTTTTGTCCTATTATCTGCAGGACTAGAAAAAATGGACAAAGTTCTTCCAAGTATCTACAAAAAACTGAACACACATACTTTATTCTAAAAGGATAAAACAAAAGCTTCTATTTACTTACTTGCTGAGAAAACAAACAGTAGAACTGATATAAAAATTGGGGTGTGATAAAGCACACATTCTGAAAAACAAGATTAAAATGAAACAATTAAAACATCTGGGTCTAAAAGAGAAACAATTTCTAAAAATGGCTATTAAAAGAGTTCAAAACACAATCTCAGTTGATATGGTAAGTAGAAGAACTGCCCGTAAGAACTTGTCTATATAAAATGGGAAAATAGGATTCCCATTTTATTAAAAAATGCCTAAAAGTATTCTAAGCAGCACTGCCAAATGTCAGAATAAAGATACTCTTGATTCCTTTCCCTGCCAAGCAATACCATAATTTTGAATTTACAACTTTCGAACTATTATTCAGTACTTTTCATATATAGTACAATAAGTAAGGTTACTTAAACTGTTGGGCTATAATAGCTTTAAAATGCAAAAATATTTAAAACACAAAAATGGAACTATCAAAACATCTTTCCATTTTAATACACTTATGCCACAATAAAGCTATAATAATACGCTAGAAAAAAAAACTATCATCTATTAACACTATGCAATCTATCTTTTCTTTCATTGTCTTGCAGCTATTACTTAATTATAGGAATAAACGCAATAAAGGACACTCTGCTGTATTAAATGTCTCGGTAGTCAGGGGCTCTTAACATGGGTTCCACAGAACCCCGCCCTCCCCAAAAGGGTCAAGAGATAGAACAGTATTTCAACATAATTAGTTTTCTTGTAATCCTACCTATTTTATTTTATGCATCTAAAACCCCTACACTGAGCAGTAGTTTATACATCTCATTAGACTACCAAATGGTCATTCATGGTACAAAAAAGATTACAAACCTCTGCTTGAAACCACCATATTGAAGTTAAACAAAACTTATTACTGGTTCAGGACAAAACAACACTAAAGAAATCAAATTAGTTGTGTTCTAATCTGCATAGAATAAAATATATCAATTTTAAGTGTAAATTTTGATGTGCTTTGACAAATTTATACACCCATGTAACCACCACAATCAAATTAGAGAACTGTTCTATCATGCAAAGTTCTCCTATATTCCTTTCCAGTCAATTCTATCACCCGCACCCCCAGCCTCCAGCAATTACTGATTTGCTTTCTGTCAGTATACATTAGATTTATGACAAAATAATCAAACCATATGCCATAAACTGTTATTTTCACTTATAGAAACAATTTTTAAGAATATATGATAACAGCATTCCTTAAATTGAAACTTCAAATTACTATGGCAGTAATTGATTCTAAAATGTCTCCATGAAACTCACCTTATAAAAAAAATACTGTACAAGGGTAGCTATTCTAATATAATAAAAATGACCATGAACAAAAAGCAATTTGGAGAGGAATTTAAATCTAGCTATTGCATAGTCACTGTTTCTTGCAGCTTGTCTTCCTTCTTTACCCATGATTCCTGTAATAAAGGAGACAAAAAGGCAAGTTCACTGATAACTGCTAAGCATAATTTTCATGATATATCTGTAAATATCTTAATTATCTATAGCAGCTGAACCTGGACTTAGGATCACTGTATCCTAATATACAGCAGATAGCAGATTCCCAAAAAGTTGTTCTACTTAAATCAAATTTGTAATTAATAAAAAGCTACAATATATACACCAGGTATATAACACAAATTTTCAAAGACTATAATAAAATAAAACACAATTAATATAAAAATAATATAGAAAGTTCAGCATCTAATAAGAACCTCAATTTTTACACTAATAAGCACAAAGTACTAGTTAACAGATTTCTAATGGAAAGAGTGCTATAAAAAAAAAGCTTTAACATCACTATTTCCAAAGAACATAAAAAAAATCCAAATTGATTTGAACCTAGCAAAAATGAGCATGTTTAACTGTTTTAAAACTTTCACACATAAATCAAACAAAATGTGCTTTTTAAAAGGAAAGTATACAAATCACTTCAAATCTGTACATAATGTTATCGATAAATAAGAGTACATTTCTTTTAGGTTACAATAATCTCTAGGTTTCAAAGAGTTATTGCCAAGTTTATTTTTTCAATCTGAAAGCAGCTTTGAAAAATTATTTTTCAAAATTAAAATTTTTAATTGTTTTCATAAAAGAATCAAAATGTTCTAAAATGTACAGGTAAAGACAATCACCTATATTCCTAACACCTAGAGAAAAACACTATTTTTAGTCTATATCTTTTTAGAATTTTTCCTTCTGCATATTTTGGACGTATTTAATATATATGGGATTATCTGTTTTATAATCTGCTTTTGTCACTTAATACATTATGAACATTTTTTATATTTCTTCGTCAACATATTCATTTATTTTCTTAAAAGAAATTCCTGGATGCATAATTGCTAGGTCAATAGGCACACATTTAAAATTTTGCTATACACAATAATGCAGAGTGTACCAATTTACACTCCCACTAACATTGGATTAGAGCATTTGTTAATCTATACCTTTGCCAATTCCAGCTTTTATCAATCTTTGTAATTTTTGCCAATCCGATAGGCAATTTTAACTTGCATTCTTTGATTAATAGTGAGACTAAACAATTTTTTCATGCATTTAGTTATTTGAGGTTTCTCCTTTTGTGACAACTAATGGCTCACATCCTTCCACACATTTCTATTAGAGTGTTTTCTTATTCTCCTTAATTTGCTAAGACCTCACATATTAGGAATATTAAGACTTTGTCATCTATTTTGCAAATATTCTTTACTAGCTTGTCTTTAAAACGTGTTTTTGAGGAGTGTTTCTGCCATACATACCAATCTTTTCCTTTATAGTTCTTTGCTTTGTTTGATTTTGTACTTAGAAGATCCTTTCATACCTCAAATTACAGGATTATTCATTAAATTTTTCTTCTATTACTTTCATGGTCTTTAAAAATTATTTAAACCCTTAATCCACTTGGAAAAATTTGTTTTGCTATAAGCAATGGAAAGGGACCCAACTTCTCTTTTTCCCCCCAAATAACTAGCCAGCTATGTCAGTATTTTTTTTTATCAAATAATTTGTTTCCACACTTATTTGAAACATCTCCTTTGTTATACACTAAATTTCTGGATTTTTGAATCTATTCTAGTCACTGGTCTGTCTGTTATCATACTAGAGACAAACTGTTACAAATATTGTAGCTTTTTATTCTTTAACGTATGGTATAGGAAGTTATCAAATTGCTATGGAGATTTATGGGAAACAACAGCGTACGAACTAGAAAGAAAATTAAGTTTTCAAAATGAAGAGTAAATTATCCCAAAGAGGAAGGAGCGGATTTGAGACATACACTGGAAATATCAGACTCGATAATTACTCATCATAGGACATTACAGAGGCGATACCAGAGCAGGGACTAGCCTAACTCTACAATTCTACGTTTCAACAAAAAACTCATACTTTTCTCTTTAGCTTCTGTATTTGTATAATAAAATTATTGAGGAAGACAGGTCAGAACACGGTTTAAATAGCAAATGATTGATAATTTAAATATAATATTAGTATTCCGAATCCACTAAAAATTTTAGGCAAAAACAGAAAAGAAATTAGAATAAAGGTTATTAAATTAGAAAACTATTTGCAATTTTATATTATAGTTTGGTGTAATTTCCTGTCTTTAAAATTGTCTTTAAAATGAGTTGCAGAATCTGTAGGTTGACAAATAAAGTAAATAATAATAGCATCTAAAGCAAGAATTTAAAACCATGAAGGCAACTATGGAAATCACAAACTTAGAGGTTAAAAATGACAAAATAATGTGTGAAAGCACTTTAAAACGTACAAAATGGCATGTAAAAATAAAGTTACTTTATTATGAAGGAGAATTGACAAAGATAAAATTCACTTATATGGTACTTATTTCCTTGAAAATTTGGAATTAAAATATTCTAAATATTGGGCTTAATTATAATAGGCTTCTGATGGGAATATACTGTGATATATTACCATGTTCTATTTAGTTTTCATTCATATATTTGATATTGCACTTTAGTCTACAAAAGGAAATCTCAAAATCACCAAATAATTATATCAACTTTAAAAGTTCAGGAAAAAAAATCAATCACCTATGCCAACATGTGCTTCTTGTATCATGCTTACGTCATTAGCACCATCACCAACAGCCAGTGTTATAGGTTTCTCAGGTGAGACTTTTATCAGTCTTATTACCTGAAAGACACACAACTAATTAGTTACTTATGATAAAATTTCAATTTTCTTGTATTTATATAAAGTCATTTATCTGAAATGACTCTGTTGTAAGAACAGTAGAGTAATAAAATTAATTTTATATTAGACAATAATATGCACTGGGGTTCATTTTTTGAGGGATGTCTCCATTAAGATGTCAGAAATGACACAGCAAAACAGAGTACTATCTTTGAATTTTATGATGAGAAGCAAGAATCTTTTAAATACAACTTAAATTTCTAAAAAGCTTAATAATAATAAAGTGTGCAAAAAAATAATTACACTTAATTGAACTTTGTCTGGCAAAACTTTTTCTTTCTCAAGAAATTATTCTTTCACTTGATACAGAAGATAATTATCTTCTCTTGTAATAAAATTTTAAAAAATTTTAAAAGCAATCAACATTAAATTTAATAAAATCAAAAAAAGGATTTCTTTAGAATTGTTGAACATACATTTATAAAGAACCTAGGCGTTAGCTCTGTTTGGTCTCCAGTTTTAGTCTCCATAGACTGGGGTATGTGAATTACAATAATATAGGCATTGTAGCAAAATTCCAAGAAGCCAAAAAAAATTGGATGTCTAATTTATTACCCCTATATGTGAAACAATCAGTGTTTAGATGTGCACTGTGATAGTTACAGTCTAAGACTCCAAATACAAAAATATTTGTATAGGCTTTCATTTGAATCAAAGTTAGCTGAAATTTAATTATTTCCTGTATACAGCTTCACATCACAAGTTAATTGGCTTTTCAACTTTTTGCTAAAGTTCTATTTATCACTTAATAGCCATTTTCAACAAAGAGATTATTACTTTATGAGAACGCAAGAATAAGCAGAGATTAACAGAACTACCTGAAGGTGCAGATGAATTGAAGTCTCACAGCTAAGTAACTAGTTAAGTAACTAACTTGTGAAACTTCAGTTATCACAGTTCAAATTTGTATCTTAGGAAAATCAGAAACTGCTATTACAGACTTTCTAGATCATTATGAATAGTTGAAACTTTAATATTCCTTCTGAAAATTCCAAAGGTTTAAGGTATACGGTTAAAATTCATAATATAAGAAGTAACTGACTCCTAGTAAGATTCATATATTGCATACCACCAAATGGAACTAGATAAGGCATTAACCTTAAAGAATACTTTTAGATCTAAATATCTTTATGGAACTTTTTATAACACAAACATACCTTTGCTTTCTGCAGTGGTGCCATACGACAGCATAATACAGCTGAACAATTTCTGCAAACATCCATAAATAGTTTTTCATGCTCCCTGAGTGCAAGAGAGAGGCTGGTCCCATCCACCACGAGGCCATGTTGAATCACGTGATCCTCTTTAATTCTAAGATAGAAAATAATTATATCTTCTGTAGGACACTTTGAAGCCATATTATTTACACTCATTTACTAAACAAAAGATTTTTACTGAACCATTCACCCATGGACTTTACTCTTACAAAACTGATATATCAGGGAACAAACTGAGTTGTATTACCTGACAGTTGAGATTAAGCAGAACTGACAGTGACTGATATGATGAGTAAAACAGATGTATTCAATTTTACAATGAATTGATATATAGATTTAGTAACTATATTTTCTAAAATGTGAATTATAACACATAATCTGAGGATACTGTCTCAAATTGTGAGTATGAAAAGTCTTACAAAAATAAAAATGTTATTAGTTACACATTTAGCAATTCCTAATTAAAAAAATTAAATGAAATCAAGAATGCTCAGGAAATTCAGAAGCTAGATTCACTATGTGTGTAAGTAGGAAGGAAAGGAAGGAAGGAATCATAACTGCCTCTTCATATTAACCCCTGTAACAGACTGTAATGCCAGATATTACTATGGTGGAACATGGATCACACTTCCCTTGTGACCATATGCTACACGAGTACTACTCAAAGTATAGTCTGATTACTGGCAGCTGGGTAAACTACTCATTGCCTGAAGAGACAAGAAGCTTGCATGAATATGTAAATCAACTACATTTCTGAGCACACTATTTTAACAGTTTCTCTTCACTCCCCGTTTGGTAATAAGACTTTCTCGATGAAGGAAGCAGTGCACAGGTTTACATTCTGGTGCAAAGTCCTTTATGTTTTTGAAGGCCAGCACTCAGAGTAGCACAGTGCTACATCCACAAGGAAAATACTATAGTTCACCATTGGGTTCATAGGATAGAAGACTGCTACAGAGAAATATCCCTCCAATTTTATTTTATTTTTTCCCCTAGCTTTATTGAGATTATTAGTGACATAAAACGTAAATTTAAGGAGTGCAATGTGACGATTTGACACATGTACATATTGCAAAATGATTACCACAATAAAGTTAGTTAACACCTCCATCCCTGCATGTAGTTACCATTTTTGTGTGTGTAGCAATAACATTTAAGATGTACTCTTTTAACAACTTTCAAATATATAATACAGTACTGTTAATTAGAGTCACCATGCTATACACTAGATCTCCAGAACTTAACCATCCTATAACTGGAATTCTGTAACCCCTGACCATGTCCCCACTTCCCCTAGACCCCACCCCCTGGCCACCATCATTCTATGATTTCTGAGTTCAGCTTTTTTAGATTCCATGTATTAAGTATTTGTCTTCCTCTGTCTGAATTTTTTCATTTAGCCTAATGCCCTCAAGGATCTTCCACACAGTCACAAAAGGCAAGATTTCCTTCTTTTTTATGGCTGAATATTTGTGTGTGTGTGTATCTTTATACGATGTATACTTTTTGTACAAAAAGGGAAATGAACGATGTATAAAGATACACACACACACAAACACAGCTAAACACATCACATTTTTTTTATCCATTCATCCATCAATGGACACTTAGGTTGTTTCCATTCTCGGCTATTGTGAATAATGATGCAAGGAATATGAGGGTACAGATATCTCTTCAACATAGGGATTTTATTCCTTTTGGATAAATATTCAGAAGTGGAATTACTGGATCATATGGTAGTTCTATTTTTAGTTTTCTGAGGAACCTCCACAGTGTTTTCCATAGTGTCTGTACCCTCGATTTTTAAATGAGAAGTAAGACTATTAAATGAATAACAAGCTATAAAAACTAAATATATATTGATAGATTTCAGTCTTGTAATATTAATAAAAATCTTTTGAATTAAAATGATGTCTTTCATACTATGCCTAATCACTGCTGTGTTGCACTGTAACTAAAAAGTGGTAAAAAATTGCCTTTTATAACATAAACTTTTATGACGTAAATTTCTTAAAAATATATTTTTCTTTTCTTTATTAATTCTCTAATATCTGAAATCAGCACCTACAGTGACTGTTTTTCCTCCCTGGTGGCCAAACTTTACTTAGCAACCTGTGCTGCCTCCAATGTGTTCAGCGTAAGCACTGCCTGAGAACATGCCTCGGAAGAAGGAACAGCAGCCAAAAGTGGGACAAAGGCGATCAGTTTTCCTAGGGAAATTTCCCAAGGCACACTAATAAAGTTTTCCTCTGGCTGGGCTTCATAAATCAGCAAATTAGCTGAGAAGAATCCATGAGATATTTATGAAATATGGAAAAGCATCTCACAGTTCTGGCACATATAGATAGCACCTGCTCATCTCTGTAGCCTCATGTCTCAATACTTCCCATACCCTCTCCCATCTATTCCATTCTTTGGCCATACCTAACTAGAATCAATACCTTGAATGAGCCTCTTTCTCAGCTCTAGGAATTTGCATACACTGCCTCCTTTGCTTCTCTGTGTTACTCTCTGATCATTTAACATTTCAGCTCTTAGGAAATAACACAGTCATGAGTTGTTCCACAAAATTTCCCTCTTCTGTCCACTCAAAGCTTTCTGTTCTTGCCTTAGTTACAATTCAGGTGTGACAGGTCTATGACAATATATTTACTTCTGTTTTTTCTACATTCTAAGTATTCTGAGAGTAAACAATACACCTTACATGACTTTGTGTTCCAAATGCCTAGACAGGAGACAATCAGTATGTTTGTGAAGGAATGAATATGTAAATTAAAGCTTTCAAAGGTAGAGAATTCTTTGCTCCATCCAATGTTTTTAGAATAGACACTTCCTGAAAGCCTGTAAATCAAAATCCTATTGACTTACATGATTCTCAGAAAGTATGATTATCTCAGAAAGTATATTTCACCAAAAAGGTGGTATCTTTAAAATATAAATAAATTTCACATAGCAAACCTAAAATTCATTTTAAGCTATAGTCTTCACTTTATAATACAGCTTTTGTACAAAAAGGGAAATGAACAACATCCATGATCTCAACAGATTTACTAAAAGCATATACATAGTAGACTTCCAGAAAATATTTTAAACACAAATAATTATCTTTAGATGGTTGATTATGTTATTAGCCATCATATCTTCTTTATCATTTCCAGCAATTTTTAAATGGACATTTATTACTTTTATGGTCAGGAATAATATTTTAGAAGGCATATTAAAGTAAATGATTCTGAGAAATTAATTTATATGTTTTAGAGAGCTCTCCTTGATACTTAAATGTTTAAGTAACCATAATGGTGCTAGGACTGCTCTCAAACTATAGTATAATTATCTAGATCAATCACCTTTTTGAACTCAAGCACTGAACCTTCTGAGAGGTGTAGTGTCTCTTTAAAACATCCCTTAAATAAGTTTTTCTTTGATGAAAGCCAGAGTTTAGTACCACATCAATGCCTGCATAACAAAAGTAAATAAAGCACTAAATGTACATTGACAACTGTGGCATAGCCTTTTCACGTTTGTTTTTCTGCATTAGTAGCACAAGACTGCAAATGACAGGTACTTGTAGAGATCTAAGATGCCTACACACGAGCAACACTGGTGCTTACACTGAAGCACTCCTTAATTTACTGTGAAAAAATTAGACTGCGTTAAGTGGGGGTTCCTAAATAAAGTTGATCTGCCTATAAACAATTGATTTAAAAAAAGAGAATGGATTTAGAGTACAAATACTTAAGAAATTATCTTTGAACAGTAAAACACAAATTTCCCAATTTGGTCATGTGAACTAGATCAGCGGCTGGCAAATGTTTTCTGTAAAGGGCCAAGAAGTAAATATTTCAATTTTAGGTTTTGTGGGCCAAGAGGCTAAATTGAGGATATTATGCAGGTACTTACACACAAAAGAGGAAATAAATTTTGACAAAATTTTTACTGACACAGTAAAAAATGTAATAAAAATAATCAAATATAATTTTTTTTATAACAGAAGTCTACTGATGAGAAGAATGGACATTTTTTGGGGGAGAGGAATAACATTTTACTTAACTGGGGTTCAAAGTGAGTGTTCCCTAGCATAAAAATCAATTACAAACGTCCATCTGTTAATGCTGATCTGTAATGAGACTTACATTTTAATACAACAGAACTGTCTGTAATAAGATTTTATATTTCATCTTTGAATATGTCTTTTTAAAGAGGTGGCATATTAAAGTGTCACTGAATAATAAACACAATGCTTTGCTATCTAATTTGATAATAAAATAATCAACACTCCACTGTGCTTGAAAAGTGTAATATTAAAAGCCTGTTTTTCTTTTCTAGTTTGGACATGATGGGTAAATACCAATAATAAAAGTACAGTAAAATACGGCAATATGTGTGGCACTCAAAACACTACCGAGTTATAACTGTGTCTTTGTGATTTGCAGTGTAGGAAGCAGCAGTGAGGAATGATAAAAGTGCTTCTTCTGGTCTCTGTCACAAATAGTACTCAACCGTGCTGTTGTAGTGCAAAAGCCTTCACTGATAATATGTAAATGAATGTATGTGAATGTGTTCCAATAAACCTTTATTTACAGACACCAAAATTTGAATTTCATACAATTTTCACAATGCAAAATACTATTCCTCTTTGGATTCCTTTTCATCTATCAAAAAACGTAAAAACTATTTTGAGCTCATGGGCTGTAAAAAACAGGCAGTGGGCCATTTGTGGCCAGTGAGCCATAGTTTGCTTGACCCCTGAACTCTGCGATCCAGATAATTATATTCTTACCTTCTGGCAAGCTGCCTCAATTGTTCAGCACAATCGCTGTCTGATTTCTGGTTTGTAAGTTCGAGAATGTTCATGGTTCTGTGAAAATGTCCACATGATAAACTCACACTAACAGCTGTTTCATGTTTATCTCCAGTAAGCACCCATACTTTGATACCAGCCATTCTCAACGCTTCAATAGTTTCTCGAACTTTATCTTGTAGTCTGAAAATTACAAAAAAAACAGAATTAGAAGTAGAGAATAATTTTTTGACTCTATTTTAAGTATAAACCACATAGTATAAGTAAGGTAAATTCTGGGCTCCTTGATCTAGGAATGTTACAATAGAGTAATACAACTGATATTTTTTCCCATTAGGGAAGAAACAGGAATAACCAAATTAGCAATCATTTGATTGAAATAAAATCTACAGCTTCCTATTTTAAGAGTATATCTTTGGGGCCAGCCCAGTGGCACAGTGGTTAAGTTCACACATTGTGCTTCGGTGGCCCAGGGTTTGCTGGTTCGGATCCTGGATGCGGACCTATAAGCCGCTTGTCAAGCCATGCTGTGACAGGCGTCCCACATATAAAGTAGAGGAAGATGGGCATGCATTTTAGCTCAGGGCCAGTCTTCCTCAGCAAAAAAAGAGAGGTAGATTGGTGACAGATGTTAGCTCAGGGCTAATCTTCCTCAAAAAAAAAGTTAACAACAACAACAACAAAAAAGAGTACATCTTCAAAGTTGATTTTTATAGAACCAAACTAAGTATATGGTCTTCATAAAGTCCTATTTTGTTACAGTCTTAAATTTCAAATTAGAAGATTTTCCTCTTTTTTTGATATGAAAATCTCATATCAGTAGTTTAATAATCAGACTGTGGACAATAAAGGACTACATAGCCTCAGGTGAATCTCAGAAATCTCATGAGGACAACTCAACAGTAAATGAAAACCTAAATTAAAAAAAAAATTCAATCACCCTTAGATCTAGGGGGTAGAGGAAAATATAACAACAGGCTTAATTTGTAGAATTCAATTTAATTCAAGAAACTGTTAAACATACATTGAGATACATGCTGGGGAACAAAGACAAAGAATAAATGGACCTCAAGGAATTCACAAGCTAACAGAGAAAGTCTTTAAATAATTATAATATACTGCCACAAGGACAACATTGAACTACCTACAAAACATGGAGACTTCACAAAGAAGAGAATTTTTAATCCTGTTAGAGGTCAGAAAAGGTCTTACTGGAGTGGGGGTAATATCTGAGCTACACTTTATGAATAGGTATTCACAAATGAAAAAGAGAAGAATGGTCCAGGCAGAAGGTACAAGGAACAAAGGCACAGAATAGAATAGCTTTAACTATAGCTGTTGTTGAGAGGAGAACTACAGACAGTTTGGTACTGTTGCAGCATAAAGTGGAAGGGGGCTGTGGTGGGAGGTGAGTCTGGAGAAGTAAGCAGATGCTTCAAGTCACTGTGTGGCACCTGTGAAGTATTCTAAAAATTTGAGCCTATAGGTAAAACCACAGATAGCTGGATTCTTTCATCTATTTCAGATATCTGACTAGAACAAAAATTCCATATACTAAGCGGGAAAAATTAAGGCTTGAACTGTCTATTTTGATTTTAAATACATTATAGGATGTTAATAAATGGAATTTACGTCATAAATTAGAAACACTTGGCTGTAAAAATCTTACAAGAGAAAAATGATACTGCCTATTTATCTGATACTTACCTGTCTTCTACTGCTGTAGCTCCAAGTAATATCAGGTCTTTCTCTATGAACTGGAAGACATGTGCCAATTTCTCTTCCCGTTGTTGCAAGGCAGTCCTGGCTTCAAAGAGGCGTCTGTCTATTTCCTCATACTCTTTAGATGTCAACTGTCTATAGGCCATACACAGAGTTCTTAGCCCTTTCTAAAACAGAAAAATTAAAGACAAAAATTGAACGAAAAAAACTACTGGGGAATCAAGAAGTCACTGAAATAAACTGAGGACCCCATTACCAAAAATCTATTTACAAATAACTTAAAAAGTACTATCATTTAGCGATAGGAAGTAAATGAAATGTCACAAAGCCCTAATGATCTGAGTTATGGGACACATATTATCACAGGTCTTTCAATTTCTGATGAGTTATTAAAAAGTTGCTCAAAATAATTAAGGTCACTAAATTGTAGAATATTAGAGCCTGGTCAGGATCATAAAGATTATCTTATCTGTGTGTGGTTTTAAAACTGTTTTACCTAGAAAGCCAGGAAGTTCTATAATGATACGTTTAGGATTGTCAAGAGAGAGGCAGCGCCAGGTTCTACTCTCCTGTTTTTAACCACTATGAATCCAATTTTATTTACTTCAACAGAATTTTTTTTAACCAAAGGGGACCAGAATTTCCTGAGGGTTCATGGTATGACAAATTCGCAATTCAAATAAAGAAGTCTGTAAGGTGGCCATTATTAAACAAACAATTCTTTCTAGAGTCAATGAATGAATGATTTTAAACTGTATCACTGGGGCCGGCCTGCAACCGAGTGGTTAAGTTTGCGGCCTCTGCTTCCGCACCCCAGGGTTTCGCCAGTTGAGATCCTGGATGCAGACATGGCACCGCTCATCAGGCCATGCTGAGGCGGCGTCCCACATAGCACAACCAGAGGCGCTCACAACTAGAATATACAACTATGTACTCAGAGACTTTGGGGAGAAGAAGAAAAAAAAAGAAGATTGACAACAGATGTTAGCTCAGGGGCCAACTTCAAAAAAAAAATTAATAAATTGTATCATTATATCTTCACTGGTGAATTGGAATTACACAAAATTTAGGAGTATATATATTTGATTATCTGATTCTACTGGCTTCAAATTTTCTTATGGTGTTAATATTTGAAGTTGGCATCTAAATCTAAAAGCTTATAAAAAAGTTCCTTTTCTTGCTATATATTTTCCTCAGAAAAACTCAAAACAAATGTTCTAACAACAGAACTTGGAAAGGGTAGATTTCAAAATACTATAAGACACTATTTAGTAGATTTCTAAATATTTGCATTCATTGATTTATAAATGACCCACACCTATAACTGTTTCTCTTAAATAAAAGTTAAAAGACCATGAGAGTTATTAATATATAAAATTAATTCATTTGTTCTACAACAAAAATTTATTGAGTGTCAACTATGTGCCAGCATTGTTCTGGATATTAAAATGATAGCAAGGTAGAACAATGTCTTTGTTCTCATGGATGTTACATGTTACAGTGTGGTAGATGAACTAGATCATAAACAATTAGAAAACAAAAAATGGCAGAAAAGAAATGATAAGTAAAGGAGGCAGGTGAGTAGAGATGAGTATGGAGCATACATTTACAGAAATGCAGAAGTGAGAGATGATGAGGTCCTAAGAGCGACAGAGAGCTGCTGAATAATCTTCCTGTTCACACGAATTGTAGCACTTTGTTTTTATAAGACTCCCCCACATTCTTTTATTAAGAAGACATAATTCACAGACCATAAAATTCACTCCTTAAATTCAGTGGTTTTTAGTGTATTCACACAGTTGTGCGGTCATTACTACTATGTAATTCCAGAATATTTTCATCATCTCCAAAAGGAATACCATAGCCATTGACAGACACTTCCCTTTCCTCGCTTCCTCCAGCCCCTGGCAACCACTAATCTGCTTTCTGTCTCTATGAATTTGCTTATTCTGGATATTTCATATAAATGGGATATGTGGCCTTTTTGTGACTCTTCTTTCACTCAGCACAATCTTTTCAAGGTTCATCCATGTTGCAGCATGTATCAGTACTTCATTCCTTTTAATGGCCAAACAACATTCTATTACATGAATATGATACATTGTTTAATCCATTCATCAACTGATGGACATTTGGGTGTCTCCATTTTGTGGCTATTAGGAATAATGCTGCTAAGAACATCTGTGTACAAGGTTTGGTGTGGACCTATGTTTTCGATTCTCTTTGTACACCTAGGAGTGGAATTGCTGGATTACATAGTAACTTTATATTACTCTATGCCCTACAAGGAAGTGTCAAACTATTTTCTTAAGTGGCTCTATCATTTACAGTCCCACCAGAAATGTATGAAGGTTCGTTTCTCCATATCCTTGGGATTGCCTTATATATTTTTAGTAAACCTTCCTTCGTAATATAGTAATTTGAATGGTCCATACAGCCATAAGTGCCCTGACTGTAACAGGTTCAAAGAGAAAGCTCGCAATTTAGCAGGTTAAAAGTAAAATTTTAACCAAAGAATGTGGAACCAACACATAATGTAACAGAACTGCAGAATTTCTATAATTTTTGATAAACTACCAATGCAAAAGTAAAACCCAAATCTTTCACACATATATATACGTGTGTGTGTGTGTGTGTGTATATATATATCTTTCTTTTAGAGTTTTTTAAATCACAGAAATTTGTACTCACCAAAGCAAATTCATCTACATGAATTCTGGTTTTTTCTATTTCTCCACCTATACATTTAGGGAGAATTGATGACTCAGCTCCTTTAGCAAATAAAAACTTCTCACCTAAAAATAAAAATGAATCATTAAGCTTTTAATATTAAATAAATAAAAATTCATGAAAGTTTAGATTGGTTACCTGAAGGTGCCTGAACAATAACACTCATTCTCCTACGATCCGAATCAAATTCCAGAACATGAAGTAGTTTGTACCTAAGGAAAAAAAAAATAAGACAAAAACTTTACTTTTTTTAATACTATTGTGCATATTGTAAAGAATAACTATAAAAGATAAAACGGTTAATTTAGAAAAAGAAATTAATCTCAACTACATTTTCAAGATGATGGGTTGTGAATCATTAATAACTCAGAAGATAGAAAAAGAAGGAACTGATATTTATCGAGCACTTAGCAAATGTCATGTACTTTACATACCTTATGTCATTTAATATGCATGAGAACCAAAGGAGGTAGGTTTTATCTCATTTTACAGAAGAAGACTATTAAACTCAGAAAGATTAAGTAATTTGTCTCAAGTTAAATAAGCTTGTGAGTGGCAGAGGAAGGACTGGAATCCCAGATCTGCCTAGCTCCATGTTTTTCTCACTAAAAAAGGTGACTGATTCTCAATTCTTTTTTCTGCCAAAACACACCTGAGAAATACAACACACTCAAATTAGTAACAGGGCTCATTAGAGCAGTGATTCTGAACCTGGGGCAGGGCATGTGTGTACAGATGGGGGAAGAAAAGCTTCTCCAGGGAGCTGTAAAAGAATTTGTGTGGATGAGTCAAGTGTGGCTTGAAAAATCTTCTGGATGAATGTATACAATGATGTACATACAGAATGCTTTGCACATCTCAAAGAAAAACCCTGAGTGAAATGATGGTTTATAAGTTGATTAAATGAGCACATCTCAAAGAAAAACCCTGAGTGAAATGACGGTTTATAAGTTGATTAAATGAGCTAGACAAGCTCCCACATGAAAGCGGCCAAAGAATAAGCTCTATGTAGTTTGGAAAACCACAGCTAGAGTTGAGATATGATTGGAATTGATAAACCCATGAAAGGTATGAATATAAGAAGAATGGACCAACTTATCAAACAGTGAAAATACCGGAAATAAGACAGCTGTTCCTTAATGTTTAAAGATGAAATCATAGGAAATATAAGGAAGTTTTTCTTTATTTAGTGAGTAGAAACCTAGGAAAGTCATTACCCCAGGAGTGTATAAAACACATAAGTAAATTCAAGAACCACTAAGCGAAAATACAGGTGAAAGATTCAGAGCAGAATACTGCAACGAGATGCAATGTAATAGTGACATCATTCTAGAGCAGCGGTCAGTAAACTTTTTCTGTAAAGGGCCAGATAGTAAATATTTTAAAGCTTTGTAGGCCATATATGGTTTCTGTCACATGTTCTTTTCTTAAAACAACTCTTTAAAAACGTAATGTAGTTTGCAGGCTGTACAAAATAGGTTGTAGGCCAGATCTGGCCTGTGGGCCACAGTTTACTGATGCCTGTTCTATACTAAATACTTAATATAATATATGAAAAGTTACAATGTAGAAAAAAATTACCGTTCCAGTTTTCCAAGTGTTTTAACTTCCACAGTTTCTTCAGAACTGCCAATAAACACAACGCCAATTCTACGGATTAAAAAGGAAAAGGAAAATTAGATTTAAGGGATAATATTTCATATTTCACAATGTCATTATAACTTAGCTTGCATAAAAACATTTAAAATATAAGTTTAAGACATATTTTAAAATATTTATTTTGAATAGAGTATTATTTTTAAGAACTTGAAGGATCAGAGTAGGGCCAAAACAATACACACACAAGTATTTCTCACAAATTATATTATTCATATTTCATAGTAACCAGATTTTTAAAGATACTTTTTCAAAATGACTCAATGCAAGCTTCACAAACTTCTGACACATTTCAAATTCTCATTTAATTTAAAATGCACTTCTCCTTTATGTGTTTATGAATTTCGTCTGACAATTTAAAGTAATTTTCTAGTGTTTTCACATTTTTATTTAAAAAGCGTTTTTCGGAGGATTTGGAAATTAAACTACCTTGCAGCAGCTTCCACTAGTGCTTTTTCATCTGGTGAAGATGCATAGTACTCTAACTGGGAGGGTGCAAGGTTTGATTGCCAAGGACCATCACCAATGCCATCAGTCTGAACACTGCTAATCTGTACAGTGTGACAGAGACTGACTGCTTTAAAGAAGAGATCATGTTTTTTAATCTGCAGAAACATAATTAATATACACAATAAAAAAAAATCCCCAAATAACATTTAGGAAACCAGAAACAGAATTCTAAAAAATGTCAATAAATACAGTTAATAATTTGGTAACCTAAGATCTAGAACAAGAGTGTTACAATCTTGTATTGCCTGAATAATAATATCTGGTTGCTTCTGACTCCAAAATGTAAAATGTCACATTTGCTTATGACCCTTTAACATACGAGTATCTTTAGAGGAGGCATAACCAAATAGCAAGTAAAGGTGAAAACTCTTTTGTGAAAGAAGAGAGGTTTCAAAAAGAAATAAATTTAAGCTCTGTTTCTCAGCAAAGCCTTCTTTACTTCAAGGCAGTAAGGGCTTTCCTGAACTTAGTCCCATTTAAATACCCAGAAAAATAAGGCAGAAACATATTAAGTGACAAGTTAAACTGGGTTATGACTACAAATTCTCAGTGTTGAATCAAAGGATGTACATTTCATATATATCTTCCTTGCCCCACTAACACTTAAACTTCTCTTACAACCCACCAACTACCAAAGAGAACTATTTCAAACGAAACTCCTATTTATTAATTTAAAAATTACTTACTAGTTCAGTTTCATTTTCAGGACTGCTTCCAAAAGAGGAACTGGTTGTAAAATGGGATAAGTTATTAAGATGGGGTAAACTACTAAGATAAGATAAGTTTCCTTCTGAAGAGTCTGGTGACGGTCCTTCAGATACAAGTCTACCATTGATTTCTTGGTACTTTATGCCATTAATTGAACATTCCCGAAACTGCATCTCATTTTCCGTCAGTGTACCAGTTTTATCTGTAAACACATACTCCACCTACAGAGAGAAAACAAACCTTTGTGTTCACGGTCCTATGTTAAACAGAAAAATCTTGTCCTCTGTCTCCTGAAGTCAAGTTTACCTATGAACTCTGATATACTGATGCTGAGATTCTTATAATCCAAGCACAACTGAATAATTAAAGATGCTATGGAAACAAAACAGGATAACACAAAATATTTTAAATCTACATATACTTTGAAGTTTCTAGCATCTTCAGGTGCACGTTCATCTGTAGAGTGGACTGATAATGTGGTATTAGTATTTCTTTTATATCTCCTGGATAAGGAGTTTTTAACTAGCAAAAAAGATCAAGAATGATCTTTGAGCAAGGGTGGAAGGGATGTTTAATAACCTAGAATGTGAAAGGGAGTAGTCTAGGAGAAATGTTACAGAGCTGAGTACACGAACACAAAATGATAGCAACACAAGAAGTCAAAAGTGGGAAGTTGTCTAAAATAGACAGGAAATTGAAAACAGGGAAGGAAACAAATTCAGTAAAAAGGAAAAATGATTAAAAGAGAATATTTAAAGAGTAGACAAGACATATAATTTTATTACTCTTTGAGACAAACTCAAGAAAAACCTAAAAGAAGGAAGGTCCACAAAGAGAAGGATGACATAGTGAAGCCCCGACACAACTAGGGTCATGGTGAGGATTTTACTACTGAAATGATGACTGAGAAAGAAGGCATTTAAAAAGGCAGGCAGACATCACAAAAAAAAAACAACAACTAACTTCAGACCAACACCCCCTACGAAAATAGACAAAAACCAAACCCAGAAACATATAAAACGGATTATATACCATAAACATGTAGAATTTATCCCTGAAATGCAAGATTGGATCAACATATACAAATCAATGAAACCCAACATATTAATAAAATGGTACTTGTCTTTTATTCTATTAATAAAATGAACATCTTGATAGATGTAGAAAGAGCATCTAACAAAATCTAAACCCTTTCATGATAAAAACATTTAACAAATTAGGGATAGAAGGGTACTTCCTCAACCTGACAAAATGTATCTACAAAGAACCCATAGCTAGAATCATACTTAACGGAGAAAGACTGAATGCTTCCTGAATCCCTAAGTTCAGGAATAAGACAAAGCTGTCTGCTCTTGCCACTTTTATTCAACACTGTACTGAAGGTTCTAGCTGGGGTAATTAGATAAGAAAAAAATAAAAGGTATTAAGATTGAAAAAGAAGAGATAAAACTATCTCCATCTGTAGATAACATGACCATGTATACAGAAAATCCTAAGGAATCCACTAAAAAACCACTAGAACTAATACGTAAGTTCAGCAAGATTACAGAGTAAAAAGATCAATACACAAAAAAGGGAGGTAAAGTTGGAAAAAAATTGTTTTGACCAAGATAATAAAGATAAGTGAGAGACTGTACTTTAAAGTTCATATTCTTGAGAATATTCAAGAAAAATACAACATCTGAGACACAGGAATTCTGCTATGTAAAGTAATAATAACAAAATCCAATGACTGTGCAGCACTCACTACATTCCAAGCACCGCTAAGTGTTCTAACTCATTTAATCCTCTCAATAACTCCAGGATAGGTACTAATAGTATGTATACTTTAGAGAAGAGAAAACTAAGAGTAAAGTTAAGCAACTTATCCAGTCAAAGAGCTAGCAAATGGTGAAACTAGAAATAAAAGATAAAATACTTTATCTTCGCTATGTTATGCTAAAGGTTGCCCAGTATCTACAGAAAATGTTGAATTCTAATTTCAAGTGACATCTCTTTAGAGAGATGTCACTTACCTATGCAATAAAAAACTTTTAGATCAGGAAGAATAATGAGAATGAGGTATAAAAACATTACTATGATAAATATACGAGCGGTCAAACAGAAATAACACTCCAAAAGTTGATTAGAATAGAGACAGACCTATCAGTCATGGAGGATTCTACAGAATTAAGATTAGATGAAAGGGACGAATAAAATAGATTAACATTGATTTAAAAAAATATAAAATCAACAAGTTTAATTTTTTAATTCTGGTGATAAAGAGATCACTGTACACCTTCATAAGAGTAGTTTCTTGAATAGTGAGGAAATGAAAGGACATAGGAGAGTGTGAAATAAAGTAGACTTCATAAACATAAAAATAGAATAGGAATAGAGGCAATAAACATATATGAAGTACTGGTAGGCTTAAAAGCTAAAAGAGGGGCTGGCCCAGTGGTGTAGTGGCTAAGTTCACGTGCTCTGCTTTGGTGGCCCACGGTTCGCAGGTTCAGATCCTGGGTGTGGATCTGCATGCTGCTCATCAAGCCATGCTGTGGTGGTGTCCCACATAAAAAATAGAGGAAGATTGACACAGATGTCAGCTCAAGGTCAATCTTCCTCACCAAAAAGAAAAAAAAAGTAAAAAGAGAGGCTGAGATGAATTAGAAATTAAAGAAAGTTATCACTTAAAGTTTCTTAAAAAGGGAGCAGATATAGGTATGCATACACAGCGTGAGCTTCTAGAAAAATGATATTCTATCACGAAGGAAAATGGAGGAGGAGAAAATTGGGATAGAAAAGGTGAAAGGAAAGAAAAAATGGAAAAAAATATGTTCAGCAAAGCAGGAAAAACAGGCTATGTTTTTAGGTCTTGAATATGTGATACAAAATTAAGGAAATGTGACATAAATTAATATTTAGCATAAATTATTAAAGCTTCCTAAATGCTACTAAAAATAAATGGATAAACTTCCGGTTAAAACCGGCAGGCTGAACAAATGTAATTCTCTCTGTTCCGCTTGAAATTTCACCAAAATAAGAGTAAAGGAATAAAAAACCCCCAAAGAGAATGGCAGAAGACGCAACATGAGACGGGAGACTTGATGAATTTGGAAGATGAAAAGGAGATGAATGAGCGGTAAGTGACTTAGTAGGACTTAGAATACGAAACCTAAGCACTGGGGGAAATCTTTTCCCAGAAACTGTCAGGAGGCAGATATGCCAGCTACCACTGAATGTGAGAGTACAGGATGAGGCTGAAGGTGGAGGTATTAGGAGCTGTCTGAATCCTGAAATCTCTTCATAACTTGCAAACTTGAGACCGCCCTGCACTCACTGGAGCAACAACTGGAAGGTTTATTCCCTGGAGGTTGAACCGGAGAGAATCTGAACTCTGCGAAAAGCTGAAAACAGGCATGGGGCAGCTTTTGGAAAAGAGATGAGGCAGTGCACTAAAAATAGGAAGATTTCTACTTGACGACTGCAACAATCACAAGCAGCAAAAATACTAATTTCAGTGCTTCTCTCTGGGGAAACTGAGGAAAGACCAATACTGATATTTTGGGATACCCCAAAAAACAGCTGGGCTGCCAGGCTTTTCTAGGGAAAACTTTTAAACTTTTAAAAAACCCTGAAGATTAGCATTCATTTGAGGATCACCCTCTCCTCGAAAGGTAGAGTCTAAAACAAATTACAGTCAGTTCTGCTCTAACATTGTCTTGAAAACACAAATTTATTATAAAGCACTTTATCAATATGTAAGGGAACAATGTGAGCATAATGTGACTTTGCGTTTGGTTATGCACATTTTTGTCTGTCAGAAACACTAAGTGAATGCAGAAAATTGCACCTAAGCTGTGTAGGAATACATGAAATGTACAAAATTCAAACAGTTACTGGTTATCTCAGGTCATCATGTGTGTTATGAGCCACACCCATCCACATCTGGCGTTACAACTTTCCTTCTATTTTCAGATAACCTTTCTTCCAATACTTCACAATAACACTTAAGTTGAAATATTTCTGATACCCACTTCCAAAAGTAAACCTCAGGTCTTTTTCAAGATAAAGTGCCATATTTATTGTAGTATTTATGTATTTCTTAACAATTTAGCAAGTGCTGTTTTTATTGGGTTCCTATCTTTTTATTTTAAATGTGTTACTGACAAAGTTTTAGTTGTACCCCAGTCCTATTTTCCCATAAGCCCTGTGGTTTTTTGTTTTGTGTTTGTTTTTGGTGAGGAAGATTAGCTTTGAGCTAATATCCATTGCCAATCTTCCTCTTTTTTTGCTTGAGGAAGATTAGCTTTGAGCTAATATCTGTGCCAATTTTCCTCCATTTTGTATGTGGGTCACCACCATGACATGGCTTAATGAGTGGTGTAGCTATGCACCGAGATCCGAACCTGTGAACCTGGGCCAGTGAAGCAAAGCGCACTGGACCCAACCAGCATGCCGTGGGGCTGGCCCCAGCCCTGTGACTTTTGCTGAGCAATTCTGCATAGCGCAGTGACTTTCAGGAATGCATGTCACATTACAGCAGAACTGACTGTACTGAAAAAGACACTGGGAGCAAACACAGAAAATGCAGGGAGCAGAAGGCTTTAAATAGACTAGAATTAGTCTTCTCAGAGAGGTGAAAGAATAAATTATATTCACAAAACAGGAATAAGATGCAGTCAAAAGAAGACTATTCAGGTATACTGGAATATTAGAAATTAAAAATATTACAAAAGAAATAAAAGAAATCAAAAGGTAAGTGAAAAGATAAAGTTGATGAATTCTCCCAGAAATATTATAAAAACAAATGAGTAAATGAAAATTGAAAATCAAAGTAAGAGAATTAGAGAATCCAGATAAACACCCTGACATCCAAATAATAAATTTTTAAAAACCCCACAAAACATAAAAAGATGTTATCAAAGAATTAACACAAGAAAAATTCCTAGAACTGAAGGACATGTGTTACCAGATTGAAAGAGCTCAGTGTGTTTCCAGACTGAAAGGGTCACAGAGTACACTGCTCAATGAAAAAAAAAAAGGACTCACAGCAGGATACATCATCATGAGATTTCAGAATTATTGCATAAAGATCCTAAACACTTCCAGAGATTAAACAACAGATCATGCATAAAGAACAGGGAATCAGAACGGCACTGGATTTCTCAACAGCAACATTGGAAGCTAGAAAAAAACAGAGAAATGCTTTTGGAATTGTGAGGAAAATAATTTCCAACCTGGGATGCATTACCCAACTAAATTATTAATCAAGTGTCAAAAAAGAAATAAAGATATTCTCAGATATCGAAAGTCTCAAAATATTTTCCTCTCACGCATCCTTCTTCAGGATGAAAAATTATTATTATTATTATATGTGTTCCACCAAAATGAGAGAATAAGCCACAGGTGGGAAGACATGGGATCCAAGAGACCAGAGATTCAAAACAGGAGAGAGGCAAATCCCAGGGTAATGGTAAAGGGAAGTCCAGGGTGACAGCTTAGAAGCAGGCCCAGAAAGAAGTCCAAATTGAAGCAGGAAGATAAAAGGCTCCAAAAAAACTGCTGCCAAAGAAAAAGAAAAAGAGAGAAATAGAGAGAAAGAGAGGAAAGAAATCCTAGATCACCTGATGTGTTTGCATATGTACACAGATGTTTCATATAATTGTCAGAGACTTGTATGTAGTATATGGAAATTAAGCAAATGAAAAACAGAGCAATTAACTCTAGGAGAAACAAATATATAAAAAAGAAAATGTAATTATAGTATTACAGGGCACATATAAAGAACTAGCAATTAGTGAGCAATACTAAAACAGTCATAATAATGTCAATAAATGAATATATATTAAATCCCAAATTATGATATAACAATATTGGGGGGCTATGGAGAGGTAAAGTGAGTATGCATGTGTCTGGGTATGTGTGTGGAAGTAGTGTGTAAGAGTTATATCTTTACATTCCATAGTAAATAATGTCTAAAATTTAAAAATCAAGAAAGAATATTATATAAAAATATAGTGTTAAATAATGGAAGAAATGGCTTAAGACTTAAAAATGGAAAACAGGAATTAGGTGTGCAGCAAAGTAGGGCTGTCTTTTGGTATGAGCCTCATAATATTTTCTGTTTTATTAGTCTTTGTGTAAGTACTGTTTTGACAAAAACAACAAATTAGAAAAACAAAACATCATTTTTACCTGTCCAAGCTCTTCATTCAGATCAGAAGTATTGACTTGTGCTTTCTGATCTGATTCTTCATGATAGAGATCAAGATCCCAGCCAATAAAAAACGATCCAAGAAATTTCTGCATTTCTACTGTCACGTATAATGAAATTGGAATGATGAAATTGTAGAGTACCAAAAAAGCAAGGAAGTCTGAAATAAATCTCAGAATCTACAAAAAGAAATTTTTTTGATAAGAGAAAATATATGAGAATTTCTTCAGTATTACTGAAGAAAATTATCAGAAAGTTTCATGTCTAAACAGACAATCAACTACACTGAAATTCACTTATTGAACTATCTTATTAACACATTTCCTTTGATTGTTTTGTTGCTCATTAGAATCTTGAACAAAGTGAAAAAAGAAAAGGTTAAATTCAAATTACTTAATTTATTACTTCAATGGCATAGAAGTACCACATTCTAACACACACTCTGTGAAAGGTAAAATAACTAATTGTGAGTGATACTGAAAATATGTTCCTATGATTATCTGTTTTATGGTCTCGAGATTCAAATTTGTCTCCAATATTTGTATTTTTAAAGTGAAATTTGGAGAAGAACTATTTACCAAAATTGCAGGTTAAATTCTCTTGGTAGTCCATATTTAATCAGTTTAAAACTTTATATGACATAATTTGTATTACTACTTCATACCATTAATAGACGGACAGGAAGACTCCTTGAATTACACTGACAGAATTGAAAATAAATCAACCTACTCTTTAATTCACTTATAACATACAGTAAATGGAATAAAAAATTGAACTTGTAGTACTGAAATGGAATGCCAATGGAAACGATTTAAATTTTTGTGATCTCTTGTAACTATTCAAGTCATGCCATATGGAATATAAGTACTTACACCCTAACATGCTAAAGGCATATAACACTACAAACGTGCTGGCTACTCTTCGTTTGCAGTGTCCTTCTGTCACCTTTCAGTAGTAATTGTTTAAGGAAATCAAAGTAGTCATTCCTATCAGAAGTCAGTACCAAAGCAATAACTGTGCCAAAGAATAAAGTTTCCTTTACAGGAGTCAAGAACACCATAAAATACCTTACTACTATTTCTTTGATGTTCTGTTTTTTGGTTATACCAAGGTTCATCCCATTTTTCTTCAGCTTGCCATGTATATTTCAAGATAGTACTGATGATGGCTTCAGCAATAAGGATTATGAGATAAATGATCAAAAATGTGTTCATTGACCTGAAATGAGAAAAAGAGAATGTAAAACATACCAATTACATGTTATTATATTCATTTGCTTGGAAATTAATACTGGAATTAAATAAGATAGAAAAATATGTAAGATATTATGGTAGCTATTTAAAGGACACAGTCTGTTAAGAAATGATCATTCAATAGAATCTATTTACTAGCCATAAAAGAACCAATACGTAAGATTACAAACCTACTTACTATAGTTAAGTTACTGTTCAAAATGCTTATAGTATATAAACATAAAAATGATTATTTTTGACCTCCTCTTTTTTTTTAAGATATGCTTTTTTTTTTGGTGACAAAGATTGGCCCTGAGCTAACATCTGTTGTCAATCTTCCTCTTTTTTTCTTTCTTTTTTTTTTTCTCCCCAAAGCCCCAGTACAAAGTTGTATATCCTAGCTGTAAGTCCTTCTAGTTCTTCTATGTGGGATGCTGCCACAGCATGGCTTGATGAGCAGTGCCACGTCTGCACCCAGGATCCCAACTGGCGAACCCCAGGCTGCTGAAGTGGAGTGCACGAACTTAACCACTCAGTCACCCAGCCAGTCCCCCAGCCTTGTATTTTGAGATCTTGCTAAACTCACTTATTAGTTCTAATAGTTTTTTTTGTTGAATGCTTATGACTGTCTATGTGAAAAATCATGCGTCCTCAAGTAGGGACAATTTTATGTCTTACTTTCTAATATTTATGCCTTTATTTCTTTGTCTTGCGGAACTGATAAGGCTTCTAGGATAATGTTGAAAAGAAGTGGTGAGATTGGCTATTCTGGATACAAGTCCTTTACAAACTATGTGCTTTGCAAATATTTTCTCATGGTCTGTGGCTTATCTTTTCATCTTTCTAACAATGTCTCTTGAAGTGCAGACATTTTTAATTTTGATGAAGTTTAATTTAACAAAACCAAAATAATATACACATCCATAGTCATATTTATGTGTAAATAAATGGAAATAGACAGTTTTCTTACTTTTCCACTGCAGATCGTTTCTGTGACTTGCTCTTGTAATTTAATGCCATCTTAGTTTCCATTCCAGTGTAGACAGCAACACCTGCAAAAAAAAGTCTTTTTAAAAAATCCTCTAGGATGTTTCACAAGAGAAGTGTACTCACTAGCATGAAAGCATCTAAGAAAATGTATTATCTGACAGTTGTTAGGACTTGGCTTTCCTTTAAGTCTTTTCAGAGTGTTTAAAAGGCTTTCCAAGTCCAGTTTGGGGGAACTGCAATCACTCAAGCTGCTGGATGGAAGGCATGGTGGTTCTGTTCTTCAGTTATAACTGAGACAGCTGAATGAAACAGATATTATTTGAGTTGGGATTGATGGAGGAAAAGGATTTGGAAAGATAAAGGTGGCAGGAAAGGCCATTAGAGATAGAGCAAACAACGTTAACAAAAAGAGAAATGGAATAGTACTTTTGTTAGGTTGGAACAATGGATGGAAGTCAGAGTTTGAAAGGTCCTGAAAGTCATAATCTGGAGTCTAGACATAATTTCATAAGTACTGAAGAGACAGTATGGAAATCTGTTAGAGTAAATGAAGTAAACACAAGGAAAGTGCTGTTTTTAAAATTTGTGCCTATGTGAATAACTTTGAGATGAGTGAAAATGACAGTAATAACGGGAATTAAACTGGGGAGTGAATGAAATTAGGCAAGACCAGCCTTATAAACAAAAACTTTGGAATTAGACCTTGGTTTGAATGCTAGTTATTAGTTCTGCATCCTTGGGCAAGTTATTTAATCTCTCTGCGTCTCAATTTCCCCATCTTTAAATGGGAAAAAGAATACCTCATAGAATTGTTGTGAGGCTTGTCTGACAAATTAGTAAAATGCCTAGAAAAAGACAAATGATCAAAAAATGTTCATGCCCATCCCTAAATACTAAGATTTGAGAAGCAGTGTAGGGTTCATCGTGCCCTCTTCCTAAGGATTTGTCCTGGAACTTTCACCATTAGAATTATTCCCTGGGGCCAGCCCTATGGCATAGCGGTTAAGTTCGGTGCGCTCCACTTTGGCAGCCTGGGTTCTTGGGTTTGGATCCCAGGAGCAGACCTACATCACTCCTCAGCCATGCTGTGGTGGTGAGCCACATAAAAGTGGAGGAAGACTGGCACACATGTTGGCTCAGGGCTAATCTTCCTCAGGCAAAAAAACAGAAGATTGGCACAGATGTTAGCTCAGGCCTCATTTTCCTCAGGAAAAAAAAATTCCTTAAAGGCAGGGATTATAACTCAAATGACAAAGGGCATTGAAATTATGGAAATGCAAGAAATCATCCAGAATGATACAACAGAGAGTGGTGCTGCTGAGGCAAATAACAGCAGACCCGTCTAAAGGCATTCAAATACACATTTTCTTTTACGAGTGTGAAAGCTGTTACTGTTAGAGAGGTGTGTTAAAATATAGGCTTACATGAAAGGATCTAAAAGCTCTGGAGGTTTTCTCTGGCTTCTGCCGTCAGAACATTATTATGGTTTTCTTTTTTAAATTGTGGTAAAATAATATATAACATGCAATTTATCATTATAAAGTGTACAATTTAGTGGCACTTAGTACATTCACAATGTTGTGCAACCATCCTCACCATCTAACTTGAGAACATTTTCATCACCCCTAAAGAAAATCTTGTACCCATTAAGCAACCATTCCCCATTCCCCACCACTCCCCGGCCCCTGGGAACCACTAATCTACTTTCTCTCTATGAATTTGCCTATTTTGGGTATTTCAAATAAATGGAATCATACAATATATGTATGGTCTTCTGTGTTTGGTTTCCTTCACTGAGCATAATGTTTCAAGGTTTATCCATGTTGTAGCATGCACCAGTACGTCATTTTTTATGAGTGAATAATATTCCATTATATGAATAGTCTTCATTTTGTTTATGCATTCATTAGTTGATGGACATCTGGGCAGTTTATATCCCTTAGCTACTATGAATAGTGCTGCTATGAACATTCTTGTCCAAGTCTTTGCTTAAACAGTTATTTTCAATTCTTTTGAGTATATATCCAGGATATATCCTCAAATTGCTGGGTCTCTAAGGTAATTCTACATTTAACTTATTGAGGAACTGCCAAAGCGTTTTCCACAAAGGCTGCGAGATTTTACTCTCCCACCCAGCAACATATGAGGATTCCAATTTCTCCACATCCTCGCCAACATTTGTTATTTTCCGTTTTTTAAAGTACATGGATTTCTTTATCAGAGAGAATACTGAGAGATAAGAGATAGTACAGGTAATAGGAAAGAAGAGAATGAGGAAGAGGACCTCAAAAGCTATAAATATTCAGTGAATAACATAAGCTGGCTACTATATGGAGGGCCATTCCTGAAATGGGAGGAGCTAGTTGACAGCTAAAGGCTATCATCAACTTTACAATTTCCCTAGAGTTGACTCAGAGCATAGTGAATTAACTTGTATCTTCAACGCGGGAGCACTATGTATTTATCCTTTTGATTCAGTCAGTATATGTCCCAACAATACCTCGTATATAGTCATAGGTCACTAGGAATTTGTGGAACAAATGAATGGATAATTGAATGAGTCAGCAGTTTTATTAATCCAAGCTAAGAATAATCATAATGGAATTATACAGATGGCTTATTGCACCCAGGATGCTAGATTATATTGGTTCTTATCCACCATTAATAGAAGTGCCAGAATTATCTTCTTAACACTCAGTTTAGTTTCATAAGTACTCACAAAGAAAACGAAAGAGCAAGGTTCTAGCTCATTACTCAAAAATAGGGATTAACAAGAAAAAATACAATACAAAATTATATTAATACAATCTTTGTAAGAAAATTATCACAGACAACATTTAACTAAGTAGTAAATTATCCAACCAAAAGACCACAAATGCTATTCTTTAAAATATACTTCATATACAGCATCAATATGAATCCATAATTAAAAATTTCCAATGTATACAAACCAAAAATTTCTTTTGTGTTTTTCAGTCTGGCTCCACGAAGCAAGAGACTCTCTGGCCCCAGAGGTCTAGAGGAAAAAAATAACCAAAAGCATTGAAGATATTAAAAATTCAATTACATTCTAAAATGGCATCTTCAGCAGACGGTACTTGAGCTATTGTTACAAGACTGCTTTCATATAAACCCCAAATCTCAGCTACTTAAAGCTGCCTAGGTCAATCATGAGGTTAGTTACCATAACAACAAATATCTGCTTTAGCATTTCAGTCACTTTAAGATCAGTGGCTCACAAATAAGATTATGCCTGTACACAAACTCACAAAGCCACCAGTTTCAAAATTTTTAAACATAAAACACAGCAAAATGAAAGATTAATAAGCAATGAGTTTAAAATGTTTAACAGAAGATGAAATTTTGAGTAAAATTAATCAACAGTTTTCAAAGGGAAAATTCAAAATTAAAATGCAATGTAAACATAAGTTACAGTATGATTTGTGTATAAATGCATGAGTCTGCACAATTAAAATTACACTGGATTATAAAACATAATGTAGTAAGTGAGTTAGTACTTTTTCTAGATCAACACTAAAACTTGACTACTTGCATTGCATACTTCTTGGAGCACGGGTCTTCTTGGTGTTTGAATTTCTCTCCATTAAGGAGATATAAAACGAGAAGGAATAACTAGAAAGGAAATTGTATTTTCTTAGTGATAGCAAAACGATAAGACTCTGTTATGGATAAGTAAAAAAGCCTTAATTTTGTCGATATTCCTTATGTTTTTCTGAAACATACATACACAGTTATCCAAATCAAAGAGAATCTGAACCAATTCTGAAGATGTCTGCAAACCCAAAGACTCTAAAAAATTCAATGAGGTTAACAAGTATGGTTTTAGTAGATAGTCATATTTGGAGTACACTCCACAGATATTCCAAAACCAATTATTGACGAGTCATAAAATAGCTCTTTTTCACTTGGTGTTGGTTCCAACAGTGAACAGAAAAACCTTGAGCTCACATTGGCATACAAAATTGGGACATAATGATAGAAAGCTTCAAATTAAAAGACAATTCATCATTTCACTCAGGTTGCTTGAGAAAAGAACACAGCTCATTTTTATCAACCATTCTAGGGCCTGAGGTAACATAATTGATCTTTTCCTTTACCAGCCATAACATCTTAACGCAGTTAAGACTATGTATCCACACATGTATTCTACTACGTCGCTATAGAAATCAAAATAAAATCCAGTCACAGTTATTCAGCAAGGGTCCTACACTTACAAACACCTTGTTACAGAGCTTATTGACTGTGTTCCTATGTTAACGTTTATTAAAAATGTGAATCAGTGCTGATGCATGTTTTTGGTGGCTTGCCTTGAAAATTTCATTAAACAAATGGTAACTCTTTATGTCAGTGACATTTCATGCAACCAGTATAAACTGAACATGTCTCCAAAAAAGAATGCTAATTTGATTAGAAGTTCAAGGACTGATTCCAAGATTTATTCTAAATTCAGCTTTGTGGTCATGAGTAACAATGTAATCTCACTCTATCAGCGAACCTTTGAAATAACTCAAAGCCTTCTTTCATGTAGGTGCCAGAAATTAACCTGAATATTGAGGAAATACAAACCAAAACAACCAGCCAAACAAAAAGTGAATCAGAAGAGTAAATAAGAGGTTCTGGATTGGACATTAAATACTATAGTTTGTGCTGAATGATTCTGAAATGAAGAAGACCATAACATTTATACTTGCTAAACATTATATAAAATACGCTTTTTTATTCCAGACTTTAAGTGTGGTGGGTTTAAAAGTGTAAGGATGTGAATAAGAATGGCTATGTTTTCTCTTATGTAACTACCTAATATCACTGGGAAAAGAAATACAAGTACACAAATAATCTTACTAAATTATTTTGATATCATTTCATGGGATTTGTTTCATCCTCACTTTGCTACTGCAAATTACCAGAAGATAAAATACTAAATGCTTTAAATTAACCCTTTTGCATCATATGCTGCTTACTTACCTAATCTCCCTTTAACTTGATTTTAGTCCCTCCTCCAAACAATTCTCACTTAAAAGTAATTGGGTAATGCAAATTTATTCTTACCTTACAATTTCTTCCATTCTTTGAGTTATTATCATCCGTCCCATGAATCTATCAAAGAATTCACCATGTTACAAAAAAAACAATGATATATTACTTATGACATCAATGGGCAGAAATTTTACGTAGCTTTGGCACTATTCTTATACATGAAAAGAAACCAACTTTTTGAAGATACCAATGGTCCAATATTTATATTAGAAATTACAAAAGTAAATACTTATCAGTCACCAAGCTTTAAAATATTTAACATTCTTGCCATGTCCACTCCAGCTCTGAATGAGGTAATGAGTGAAAAAATGTTTTCAAAACAGCAATGCAAAATTTATATATTACTATTAGTTTGTTCACATGAGAATTTCTAATTGCTACACAAAGATGCATACATTATGTAGCTAACAATGAATGCTCTACACATTTCATCACAGTTTACTAAATAAAGCCTCCTGTGACCAGAATCATTCATTCACTCATTCATGCATTCATTCATCCAACAAATATTCACTGAGCAACTGCTATGTGTGAGTTAAGTGGTGGGGAGACAGCAGTAAGCAAAAACCTATTGGTGAAATCCAGAGCTTCTTTAACTTTTGGTTGCCTGAAATCTAGAATGAGTGGCCTTTTATCACAGTGGACTTTCATAGCCTGGCCTTTCAGCACCAACTTCCACTACCACCACAGCTCCATAGGATAGAGTTAATTCATGTGTACAATTACTTTCTACTACAGTGGCAAGTAAATTCTGAGTTGAAGCAAATTCTAGACACAGCTTCACGTTAATCATTTAACTGGGCAAAGAAATATTAAGGATTCCTTTCCAAAAGTCCCCTATCATTCCTCCTGTTTCCAGGTCATAGGTGATTTATCCCTTGTAGACTTTAGCTTCATTGTTTCTTGCTAATCTCTTACTTTTACTTCCTTCAGCTCCCCATATCAGGGAGAAGTTTTTTTTTTTTATTACCTCCAGTTAATGGAATTTTACCTAGCCCTGGTTCCAGTCTCAACTTTGGATTTAGGTTCAAAGAACCAATTCAGCTGGTGTCTCCCTAGGCATCTTTCACAGACGATGTGTGATCAGTCTTTAGAATTTCCTGAGCTGAATTCCAACAAAAGATCTGCTTTCCTTCATTTTATCTGTCCTGTTAGCCTTGATTCTAAGGCACTCTGATATCTGTTCACACCAGTTCCATGCTGAATTAACTCATCTTGCACTTTCCTTAGTCCTTTCTCCAACCCACACTTTGATTTGTTTCAAAGAGGAAACAGCTTTATTATTCTCTTTTCTGATTATAAAGACTACACACACTCAAACAGATACATTTTATAAACTGATTCAGACAATATAAAAAGACACCAAAAGGAAAATAATCACTGGTAATGCCACTACTCAAATATAAACACCTAGTAATTTGGGGTACGTTATCCAGGAGGTTTTTTTCCATGCGCATAGAGATAAATATACATATATGTTAAAAACAAAAATAGGATCACACTATAAGTACTGTTGGCAACTGCCCACTCTTAACACGTCCTGTCAAAAACATAGGCCTATATCATTACTTTTAATGACCACACATAGAACTGCATTTGGGGGTTACTGCATAATTTATTTAAATAATTCACTCCTGATGAAAGTTTAGGTTTTTTCCAACTTGTGGACAGTCTAAACAATGTAGCCCTAAACAACCTTGTGTATATATCTTTTCCTATTTTCATTAAGATAATTCCTCAGAGTAGAATTTCATTAGAAAAAATTCTTAGAAGTGGAAGTGCTGAGTCAGAATCTAAAAAATAAAGAGGTGAAAAGAATAGAAAGAAAGAACTAAAGGAGCAAAGGAGCCAAGGAAAGAGGAAATGGTGAGTACTGTGAAAGAGGCGCCTGCTGGAGGCTGCTCCTAAACAAAAGGCTCTCCTCGTTTTTATTTCTCCCAGTGGCTTGGCAGAAACCATTTCTTTTCATACTCTAGCCTCTCTCAATAAGCTATTAAAGTTCTTTAAAAAGGAACAATGTAACCCTAATTAATAAACAGGTAATTGGGAAGAAATTGACAATGTCCAAAGGGGAGAAATTAATAAACAAACATAGAAAAACGCTTAGCAGTTCTAACAAAAAATAAATCAAAAGTAGCATTTTAAAACTATTATCTACAAAATTAGCAAAACTTTTAAAACCATAAAACTTAAGTTTTGAAACAACAAAAATCTCATAAAATTACACTTTGCTCATGTCAATAAAAATTCACCTAATGCTTTTGTAAAGTAATGTGTCAGTATGTTTTTAAAGGCCAAATTCTATTGGGGCTTTAATCCAATAATTCCACGTCTGCAGCTCTGTCTGTTCTTAAGGAAGAATCTAGTACTAGATTATAAACTGCAGGAGGCAGCAGCTACCATTGTTTCTTCACTGTTGTATTCTCAGTGTCTAGCACTATGCCTCAGTTCCTGGACGCACTCAATAACTGATGAATGAATGGACAATAAAAATGTTCACACATCTTTTGATCAAGTAATAATTTGGAACTCTATCATTCATCCATCCATTCAATGGATATTTATTGAGTGTCTACTACATGCCTGGTACTGTTTTAGGTACTTCAATTCAATAGTAAAGTGACACAAATCTTGCTGGCATATATCATAGTGAAGTAACTTAATAAAAGGGAAAACTTAAGTGCACAAATTAAGTATATAAAGATATTTATTCTTTCAACTGTCAACAAATATATAGAAATGCCTCTTATATGCCAGATCCATTTTAGGTGCTTGAGATACAGCAGTGAACAAAACACATAAAGATTCCTGCCCTTGAGTTTACAATTTTAGTTAGAGAGAGAGATAATAAGCAATAAACATAATAAGTAAATTACATAATCTACTAGAAGGTACTATGTGTTATGAACGGGGTAAGAAGGATTAGGTTGCAGTATTAAATATTCAAAGTAGGCCGCACTGAGGAGGTGATTTAAGCAAAGACTAGAAGGTGGAAAAGGAGTTAGACAAGGAACAGCTAGTGAAAAGGTGGGAGTGGATATGGCATGCTCAAGGGAAAATAACGAGGCCATTGTAGCTGGAAGATGAGCAAGAGGGAGCAGGGTCAGAAGTACGGCCAGAGAAAGGCTGAGGGTGGGGGTAATTAGTAAGGTCATATAGATTATTATAAAGACAGGGGTTCTGACTTGCAGTGAGATGGAAACGCCAGTGCAGGGCTTGAGCAGAGGAATGAAATGATCTGACTTACATTAAAAAGGATCACTCTGGCTGCTTTTGTGAGAAAAGACTGCAGGAGAAAGCAGGGAAAGCAGAAAAACCAGTAAGGATGCCTTTGACAGCAGTAATCCAGGCAGATGATGCTGGGTTGACCAAATTAGTAGCAGTGAAATTGGTGAAAGATGGTCAGATTTTGAATGTATTTTGAAAGTAAACCGATGGACTGGGATGAGATGTGGCGAGAGGAGGTGAGCAGAGAGGAGCTGTGGGGAGTCATGGCTGACCCCAAGGTTTTTGGCCTGAACAACTGGAAGGATGAACTGTCATCAACTGAGATGGGAAAGGCTGTTAACTGAAAGAGTTTTGGAGGGAAAATGAGGAGTTCAGTTTCCAACATGATTAATTTGAGATTCCTACTAAATATCCAAGTGAAATTGTGGAACAGAAAGTTAGACATAAGAGTCTGGAATATGAGAAAGAAGTCTGGGATGGAGATATAATCTGGGAGTCATCAACATGTAGATGGTCTTTAAAGCCATCAGCTCAGATGAGATCTCCAAAGGTTGAAAGCAAAACATACAGGCAGAGAAGGGAAGAGGACCAAGGACAGTCCTGGGGCACTCTAACATCAAGCAGTCGGGGAGAAGAGGAGAAATCAGCAAAACAGATTGAGAAGGAGGGCCTAGTGAAGTACGAGGAAAACCAAGATAGTGGAGCATCCTGAAGCCAAGTGAAGTAACTGTATCAAAGAGGAGGGAGTGATGAACTAGCCAACCACTGGATTTTGAATTGGTGAACTTCTTTATAATAAGGCGCTATGTAATATTTGTAACAGCAAAACAATGGGAGAGTTGGGTATTGAAAGATTAGGGAATGGTTAGGTTCTGGGACATTCATTTAGGACTATTATGCAGCAACTGAAAACGATCATTAAGAATACTACGCAGTAAGATGGAAAATACTCTTTTTTTTTTTTTACCAGTGTGGTGCTGTTTTATTTTTATTTTTTAGTTTTTTTGGTGAGGAAGATATGCCCTGAGCTAACATCTATGCCAATCTTCCTCTATTTTGTATGTGGGATGACTCCACAGCATGGCTGATGAGTGGATTAGATCTATGTCAGGATCTGAACCTGTGAACCCTGGCTGCTGAAGTGGAACACACAGAACTTTACCCACTCTGCCATGGGGCTGGCCCCAGAAAATAGGGTTTTTTTTACATCACAAAAGCAATCCATATTCTTTCAAGAAATATTAGACAGTATGGAGAACAAAAAAGGTATTAAAAAGCAGCTGAAATTCTACCATCAGGAAATAACTACTAACATTCTGACATGTAATTTCCTGAGGATTTTCCTTTTCTCTGGACCTATCTATTTTTCTATCTTGCTACTTAACTACCTATCACATTTCTTTGTATATAATTGGGATCATACAAGAGCTACAACTCTGTATCTTATTTTATTTTAGTATGTTCCTATGTCATTAAATTCTTTGAAAACATCATTTTTATTATCTATACACTTCATCTTCTATCTGTACCACATACTCATTTAAGTATTCTCCTACTTGGACCTTTTTTATTTTTTGAGGAAGATTAGCCCTGAGCTAACATCTGCTGCCAATCCTCCTCTTTTTGCTGAGGAAGACTGGCCCTGAGCTAACATCCGTGCCCATCTTCCTCTACTTTATATGTGGGACGCCTACCACAGCATTGCTTGCCAAGCGGTGCCATGTCCGCACCCGGGATCTGAACTGGTGACCCCCAGGCCGCTGAAGCGGAATGTGCAAACTTAACCGCTGCACCATGGGGCCAGCCCCCATACTTGGAAACTTAAAATGCTTTCAAATATTTCCCTTTTATATAGCATATAGTAAAGTGAAAAAATACAATGCTATGTATATAATGTCTTTACAGTTATGAGATCCTCAAGGATGGAAACTAAGCTCATTCATCTTATTTATCATCTATCATAATGAGCACAGAGGTGCTCAATGATAATTTGATGAATGAATGAATAAATAAAAACAGCAATAAAGTTTTTAAAGTAGTGATATAATTAATTATGAGTTATCTTTCTATTACAGAAGCCTTCTGTAGTAGTTACATTTATATTTAAAACAAAATATGGGGCCGGCCCAGTGGCGCAATGGTTAAGTGCGCACGTTCCGCTTCAGCGGCCCAGGGTTCGCCAGTTCAGATCCCAGGTGCAGACATGGCACCGCTTGGCAAGCCATGCTGTGGCAGGCGTCCCACATATAAAGTAGAGGAAGATGGGCACGGATCTTAGCTCAGGGCCAGTCTTCCTCAGAAAAAAGAGGAGGATTGGCAGCAGTTAGTTCAGAGCTAATCTTCCTCCAAAAAAAAAAGGTTTTTTTTTACTTTTGCCCCATTTTCCAAGAAAACGTAAAAATCATCCACCAAAGCACTTATCATATTTGATCTCATATTACTCTTATGCTTGCTTAATGCTGCATCATTTTTTAGTTTTTAATAATTTTTTTAGTAATTCATCGTCTGAGACCAGTAAACAATAAAAATCTTAAAGTTCTAAATTCTTCACAGTTAAATCTATTTTAAAGTTTAAATGCTCTTAAAGCATAGGACTCCAAATTTTTATAGTTAATTGGAAAACTCTATACTGCATTTGACTTTGATGAAAATGCAAGATTTTTATAACATCACATAGAGAAAACTCCATTAAAAATATATTGATCCAGAACAAAGATATGCAAGAGATTTAGAAAAGCTAATGACTAAGGATAAGATTTTGAAACATTTCAACGAACAGAGGAGGATATATAACATGACAAGAAGCTGAGGGTGACTTTTTATAATTTGGTTATAATTTACATTCTATGACCAGCTATTTAGTAAAAATGAGTTTAGTTTCTCATATAAGTCTCTAATAATAAAAAGTTGTTTCCATTCCATAGCCCATAATAATTAGCATATCACTGAAAGATGACTTACACGGTGTTTAATAAATTATAATATTAAAAGTAGTTAGTTCCTAGTGAACACAACGACATAGCCCTTGCCTTCATGGAGTACACACACACACACATCATTAGCTTATTTTCTTCTAAGGAAATAATCTTACTTCTCCTATAACTACTATTACAGCTATAAAATTTACTATTACAGTTAAAAAGCCAGTTCAAACTGAAGTAGAAGGTAATGGGAAGGAAGGTGTGATTAAAAGCACTGCTTTTTTAATTAATACTTTGGCTTAGAATTTTGGCAAACTCTGCTTTTAGAGTCTTTTTCCCCTTAAGTGATCTCCTCTTCCTCCCCTCAATCAAGTCTTTATTTAGCTAAAGATTTCATTGTATGTTTACGATTGTAACAACAGGATCTGTAAACAGGATTTAAGATTTTATTTTTTCCTTTTTCTCCCCAAAGCCCCCCGGTACATAGTTGTATATTCTTTGTTGTGGATCCTTCTAGTTGTGGCATGTGGGATGCTGCCTCAGCGTGGTTTGATGAGCAGTGCCATGTCCGCGCCCAGGATTCGAACCAACGAAACACTGGACCGCCTGCAGCGGAGCGCGCGAACTTAACCACTCGGCCACGGGGCCAGCCCCTGTAAACAGGATTTAAAACGAGTATGCTATCACACCATACCTGTACAAATCTGCTTCTGGCTGGTGACATTCTATGACAGCTTCAAGAGTGTCCAAATTGGCAACTGTTTGTAATACTGCTGTTTCTGGAACTGCCACATGTGTCTGAAAAAGAAAAAAAAGGATTAAATTGAATAGTTTCAGGATCCAAATGGGACACTGGATATGATCTATTTCAAATCTCTTTTACAGACGAAACCACAGCATTCTGCACTTGAGATCACTCAGCTAGACAGCAGAAGAGAGGAGAAAGAACATAAAATAAAAAGTAGTAAAAGGAGCTGCTGTGATTACCTGTCTATAGACGCTATTTGCAGATAAGGAAATTAAGTCTGTGTTAACAGTCACTACTGCTCCAAGTTTATTATAAGCTATTTAATAGGAAAAAAATGTGAATTTTCATCCTTGGTTGTACTCTGAAAACTGAGAAAAATTTAAATGTGTCCCCTATTTAAAAAAGCACCAAGGGCCAGCCCTGGTGGCCTAGTGGTTAAGCTTGGTGTGCTCCGCTTCAGTGGCCCAGGTTCGGTTCCTGGGTGTGCACTTACACCACTGTCTGTCAGTGGCCATGCTGTGGTGGCAGCTTACATACAAAAAGAGGAAGACTGGCCACATATGTTAGCTCGGGGAGAATCTTCCTCAAAAAAAAAAGCGCACCAAAATATTAAAAGATTATATTTTTCCTAAAAACACTTTCCATTTTTCTTTACCTTGACTTGACTAAACCATGTGAGGCTACCCTTGAAATAAACAAAAAACATTATTTCTTTTAAAAAACTTAATTTTTTGAAGTCTCAGTAATTTAAAAAATTTCTCCTTTATCATGTCAAACTTTATTACCTTAACCAAAGGAAAATATCACTATAACCCAAAGGCAGTCTGTTTACCAAGAGCAACACTTTCAAACATATACATGTACAAACCTTCAGGTTAGTTTCTCCATCTAAACTGGCAGTTGTAATGTGACAAGAACCATCAAGTCGATCTGAGGACAGAAGCACCAAATCTGCAGGGAAAATTTCATCTTTGGCTACTCGAACAATATCACCCACCTATGAAGAATTTTGGGGAAAAGTGAATATAGATTTTAAAAGGCAAGGCCTTATTTTTATTGTGTTCTAAACAAATGGCCTATCACAATACTTTAATGTAGGAAAGCAAGCTTTTAACAAAAATATAATCAGATTAGAATTTGTGATACCAAAATATAATTGATTTCTATTATTTACTAAATGTATACCCGAATGTTTTTTGATCTGGTTTTTACAAGGCCACCACTTCGAACAACATAAACAGGAGCTCCATTTACTTCATTATCTGAGTTATGTCGTAACCAATCTTCATATCCCTGTAAATATCAAAATAATAAAAAATACCATTTTTAGTATAATTAGAAGATACTTTTATCAAATAAGACAAAGAAACATAAAAACTTTCCCAAAACATTTCATTCACCAGAATTGCATTCGGCTATTTTGATGCATATAATCACAAGCATCTGACATTCATTCCTACTAGAAACACTCTATGCTCTTGGTTCTCATTACACATGTTCCTGGTTTTCATAGTACCTCTCTAACTACTGTCTCAATTTCCTTACGAGAGGCTCCTTCTATGGCACATTTATGGGCCCTTTTTTCACGCCTCACTTTCTCACCTACAAGATTTCTTCTATCCATGTGTCTTCAAAAATTCTGAAATTTATATCTCTAGCCTATATGTCTCTTTTGGACTCTAAATGTGACTATCCAACTATATGCTTACTATCTCCATTTTGATGTCTCATAAATATACCTAAACATTTCAAAACTAAATTGATGACATTATCCCGCAAATCTGTTGCATCTCCAATGTTCCCCATCTTGACAAATGGCATCGCCATCTACTGAACTGTTCATACCAGAAATCTGGGGAGTCATTCTTGATTCCCATCTTTTCCGAACAATTCAATCAATAAGTTCTATGGCTTCTATGTACAAATGATATTTTAGTCATAAAATATAAATTCACAGAGCATTATAGACAATAAATACAAAAAGTTGAACAGATTTTAAAACCAAGGTTGAGTTCTTTTACTTACTTAAACAGATCAACAGAATTAATTATAACTTGTACTTCAAAAAAAACATGGTAAGCTATCATAAAAAAAGGACACAGACATAAGGTTTTCACAAAGAATCCTTTGATTAAATGTTAAGGAATGGCAATGTTTTTTAAGTGGAAAAGACTTCTTGTGCTATTTTAAAGAAAATTCAAGAACTCAGGGGTGTAGCAAGAAGTACAGATAAAACAATATCCAAGAGATAACATTAAATGATAAAAGGTACAGAATGTGTTGTGCTCTATGCTACCATTTGTGAAAAAAATATGCTTGCCTATATGAACATTCTGTATAGATATCTAGACTAATGTACAAATAAATAATGGTTCCAGGGCTGGCCCCGTGGCCGAGTGGTTAAGTTCGCGCGCTCCGCTGCAGGCGGCCCAGTATTTTGTTGGTTCGAATCCTGGGCGCGGACATGGCACTGCTCATCAAACCAAGCTGAGGTGGCGTCCCACATGCCACAACTAGAAGAACCCACAATGAAGGATATACAACTATGTACCGGGGGGCTTTGGGGAGAAAAAGGAAAAAGTAAAATCTTTAAAAAAAAAAATAAATAAATAAATAAAGGTTCCCTCAGGAGGAGAACTAGGAGACTGGGTGTTAGGAGCATAAGAGACTTTCACTATCTGTTATTTTGTAGTGTTTCCATTTTTTAAAAATATGTGGATGTATTACCTAAAAAATATTATAACACTATAAAATATAAAGCAAATATTAAAGATTGCTTTGAAGTTCTATTTTTTTCAGGGAGAAACCCTTTGAGAAAGTATTCTTAAGATACTTAAATTATGTTAGCCCCATTTAAGATGTGGTAGGGTCAACTTTAGAGAAATTTGAGAGCCAAAACATCTTTTCTGAAACTGTAAAAAGAGCACATTTCCTTTTAAAGTCAGATGACATTAACAGGAGAGCAATAATAATAAAAACGTTATCTTTTTTAACACAAGTTTGCAAATTCTAACTCATCCTACATATTACTGCCAGATTAATATTTCCAAAACATTGTTTTAATTCATTATCCTGTTCAAAACCCCCTCAATAACTTTCAATGCTTACAGGAAAGAATCTTTCAGCCTCCTTAATTTAGTATCAACCTACATTTCCAGTATTATCTTTTAGTACTTTCCTGTACAGGGTCAAACATTAGTTAGACATGTCACTTCCCAAAGTAGGTCTTGCTGTTTCTAGCATTTGAGCCTTTGCCCAAGTTGTTTGCCTCTCACCCTTTTCACCAATTGTCATTTTACCCATATTCCAAGTCTCATCTCTAATATTTCTTCCATGAAATCTTGATTATCCAGATGAAGTATTCCACCTTTTCTCTGAATACCTACAGATCATTGGTTCTCACTACTACCTTATTAAATTATAATTATTTTTGTATTTGGTCTTACTTTCCCTACTTTGTAGGTTTAAAGCTCATAAAGGGCAAAGACTGATATTTACCAGAGCACTGTATCTTGCATTATACAACTAGACAGAAGACTTAATATGCAAACATGGTTGGGAGAGGTTAAAAAAAACAAAACCAACAACTTCATTCATATAAAGTATAAATAACTGGTAATACAGCTTTTCCTATTTTGATAAAGGGCAAAGGGCAAAGGCAGACGAAAAGGGGAGAAAAGAAGAAGGGATATGGAACACGGCAACTTTTACTTTTACAATTTTTCCAAAATTTATTCTATTGATCTAAAATAATGGATTTACAAACTTGAACAGTACATAGTATGTTGTATGTTTATTAAATGAGTAAAACTTAGGAAGAGTTGCTGCAAAAGAGAAAACTATCAGTCCTGAAATTGTTTCTGAGAAAGGAAAAAATCCTTATAGATCAAATTTCTCTTTGAAAATTACATGACCTTTCATATTTCCCCTTTTGCCTTAGTTGTCAGGAAGCTCTCAAGTAAATTTAGTACCTACCTGCAATAACCGTCCTAACATAGGTTTGAGGTATAATCTGCCTGCTTCCTACCTTTACAATTTATGTGTTTTTACTTAACCTATTTTGCAAGGAGACAGGTTGTCAATTATTATTATATAAACTCATTTTGCAGATATAAATTCACCAGCATTGTTTCAATTCAGTGAATAGCATCACATTCCAATTAAACCCAGTCTTTATTAGGCCAAATATATACTGGGAAACCAGGGCAAAAAGTATCACAACATTTTACATTGCTTTAAAAAATACATTCAATAGGTTCACTCATTCATTTATTCATCTATCAAACAAACATTTTTTGCAGGTCCAATATGTGCACGGCCTTCGTCCGGTCACTGGAAGTAAACTGATAAAACAAAGACTCTGCCCTCATAGAGCTCAATACTCGAATGTAGGCAACAGATAAACTAATAAACATTTACTCAATAGAACAACAGGTAGTGACAAATGACACGAAGAAAAAAGACCAGAGCAGGAAATGAGAGAGTGACATGGTAGCCAGGAAAAGCCTAAGACATCCAAGTGGAAATGTTGCACAAGCAGTTGTATACGTACATGTATCTGAAGTTTAGGGAATAGTTTCAGGATACATATAAATTTGAGAACCATCAACAGATACATGGTACTTTAAGGCACTAGACTAGATAAAATCACCTAAGATGAAACTATATACAGAAAAGAGGTCCAAAGGACAAATATGTGTACTCTGATGAAATAAATGACATCTGCAAAACCAAGCAGATATGTAATTGTATGAAGTAACTTGGATGCTTACTGATGTACACAAATTCTAGTCTCCAATAAAAGAGTTAAGAAAGGGAAATCAAACTAAACGAGAGCAGCAGCATTATACTCTGACACACTAGATACATCACGTAATTGTTCATCTATGGACTCCTCTTATCCTTCTTGTGTAGGTAATAAAGAATATACTCATCCCAGAATTATAAAATGTTTGTCAATTTTATTTCCATGTCAATTTAAACCTTATCTCTAAATCTTATAAAATGAAAATTGATCATATTTACCGAAGAAAATTCAATTCTCTTTCAGGCAGAAGGGATCATCTCTGTATAACTGAGCCTCCACCAAGATTTTTTGAGAAGTGGTAGTTATAAAGGCATGACATTTATACGAATTTACTTCTTACTCAGTATGTTTATACAATATTCCTGTTTTTCTATACCTATATTTTAATATCAATTCAAGATTTGGTTGAAGCTATTTCCCCTAGGGTTCTACTTTATGTAAAAATCAACTTGACCAAAGAAAGTTGTAAAAAGTAGGAATCACTACACAATTTTTATTCAAAATGTTCATGACAGAAGTACATGTTCCACTCCCTATAAACACATCTCTTTTAAATTTTATTTCCTTTAAATATTGCCTAACTCTACAAAGATAATTATAATTAAACTGTTACATATATAAATTGGTTAGTATATGTAAAATGCTTGTTTTTGGATGCTTCCTAGGTGTGTCAAGAGAACAACATATTTTAACAATGTAATCATTCCATGAGTCACAGGTACATGAAATATAACAGAGAGGTTAAACTCAGTTTAAACTTACCATGTGCAATATCAAACAAATTTGCTGCTTTCTTATGGAAATTATTTTCACAAAAATAAATGTTAACTTTGAAGTGGAAATATTCAGCAACTTCTGAGTGACTTAGGGGTAAAACGATAGAAAGCCTTTCATACCTGCTTTATGGCAGTTACTGTTATCACAAAGAATAACGGAAGTCCACTGGTAATTGGACTGGTAGGTGTATCAATCATAAGCTAGATTTTAAAAAAAGAATGCAAAGTATTATATTCTTATATTGTGCACGTCACATTTTTAACATCTAAAATCTCATACTTATTGGGAATTCTGAGAACACTATATAAAATGTTTATCATGGTCCAGAGTAAAAAGTAATAGGAGAGAATAATTATGCAGTGAGTATAGTTTAGTTCACAGGTTCACAAGTTCACTTAGCTTTTATATGGTGTTAGTGGAACATCCAAATCTATTGCATACCCACAAACATTGCCAGAGTGGACTCAGTCACTCTGCCTTCTTAACACAGAATACTTAACCTCTTCCTCAATATCTGCCTAGGCGGAGAGCTACAACTGCTCAGAATCTCATTTCACATTTATTTACCCATCCTGATAAACGCTCATAAGTTTGTCAGCAATTTTTACCCTGGATTCAGAATAAACTCACCACTTAAGGAGAAAGAACAAGGAATGGGACTAAGGAAAGGGTTTTTTTCTTACAAGTGATTTTGTTACATCTAGTAGTGCCAGAGGGATACAGCTTGGAAAAATGATGCTGCAATTATTATCTAAATTATACAACTGAGGTTTCAATAAATTGCTGGAGAAGTAAAGAAATTTTTCCTGTGGTTATATTTGGTTAGTTAGAACATGGATCTAGCGATTTATTAATGTTCCTTTACTCTAGATAGGTCAATTAAATTTGTTCTTTTCCACAGACAAGCTGAATTCCTGATCTCAGCTAGAAATATCACAAATGCATGTGTTATGTGGGTATAGTTTAAATTTCTCACTATTCTCAGAAAACTAAGCTGATGTTCTATTGATAGAAAATCAGAAAATCCTTCTCTGTTCATGAAGGAAAGCAATGTTCTTAAAAAGGAAATGTTTCCTCAAGCTTTAAAGTGATTACTTGGCAAGTTTTTTCTTCTTTGGAAATCCCAAGGTTCTCCTGAGAGAAAAGTTAGAGTTTATACAAAAATTCAATGCCACAATGAAAGAGACTGCTAAAGTACCATCAGAAAAGAATAATCTGTTTAAAAGAAAATGACAATCACTATTTTAAAATTTTGATTTATACTCAAGTTTCATAAGCTGTTGTCTTGATATTTTGATATTTTGGGAAAAAAAGCACAATGTGAAAATTAAGAAACCGTCAAACAGCTAGGAATGAATACAAATTTAACTTAAGAAAATGGTCTACTGGATAAAAATCTATACTCATGGGGTTCTTAAGAATTTTTAAAAAATTTTAAATAGAAGCGAAATTTAAGGAATAAAAAAAAGAAAAGCCAAACAAAAACTTACTTTGTACAAAGATGGTTCCATAGGCAGAAATGTGCCAAAACATGTGCTGTACGTTAAAAATCAAGATACTTATGCTCTGAGGCAGACTATCAGAAAGATGATATTATTTTTTGGCTTTGATTATGGTTATCAGCAACACAGCACATCAGTGATGAAACAAAACACAATTAATCTTAGAACTCATAGGCTATGTTTTTAGAAATACAGATGTGGTTTAAATCATTGTATTCACTGAATAAAATGGGGAAGCTCTGCAGAAAAAAACTGGTCCCAAAGTCAAATGATTTAGAATGCAATTTAATTTTTCCCTGAAGACATATTTTTAGAAATCATGTCTAGAAATTTAACAAACTATTGAGTGACAAAGCTTACCTGAACCAAAAATATAATAAGAAAATAAAAGTTTGCAACTCTTCTGAATTGTTCAAATAAAGTTTTTGGAACAAAATTCCACACAGTATACTAAAAAAAAAGAGAAGAGATTGATAAATTAATATTCAAAAATAATATATACTATATAGATGTAACAACAAGGAAAGTAAAATCCAGATTTACTAAGCCCTTAGACAAATTCGTGTAACTCTTGATGCTACAGAAACTATTTATCTGGTTTTTAAGAGTTTCAGGACTTTTTTTCCTACTCTGTTTTTCTTTACAATATATTGGTAATTTTGTCATAATTTTTAAAAATGAGATAAACTGGAACTTATCAATTTTGCTATTAAATTCTTGATTTTTTAGAAGTTGGAGATGGCAGATCTAAAACAACATTTTAATAATTTATTTTGGACTTTGGTTACAGAAAACTAAATCTAATGCTAAAGATAAATAAGAGGTGATAGAAATGCTGATACTAGATACAATTTATTTCATACTTTATTTAGCTCATGTCAGAAACAGAGGAAATGGTATAATTATCCAATTATTCTTTAAGTGTGGAATATGAAAAAATAACCTAGAATGTGAAAAAGATTAAAAAATACTTTACATAAGTGATTACTGGTATAATCATCAAGAAAACCTCATAAAGGGCATGAAAATTTGTCACAATGTCAATGTTAAAAGTAAGATAGTAGAGTATAATGGTTAAGAACATAGATGGTAGGGGTTAAACTGCTGTAGTGTAAATCCTAATTCAAGGTCACTAAATGACCTTGGACCAAATCTCTCTGCACCCACTTTGACCTCCATAAAATGAGGACAATAATAACAATAATGCATAGGGTTGTTATAAAGATTAAATGAGGTAATTAATTTATGAAGCACTTAGACAGAACCTGGCTCATACTAATAGCTATGTAAGTGTCTACTGTTATATTATTAATCAGCTTATAAACCTATAACTCTATATTATAGGTGCAGGGTAATACAATTTTACTTGTGTCACTCACCACTTACAACACAATTTCATAAATGAAACAGGGAAACACTTTATAGCACTGTTACTTTACCCTACGTACCTTCTCCCAATAGGATGTAAGATCCCTGAGACTAGGGACATTGTTTTATTTGTTGCTCTATCTCAAGCATTTACACTCCCACGTGGTACACCACTGGAGATCAAAACTTTAGCAGAACAGATGAATATAGCTGCAATGGGCTTGTTTTTTTTTTTTTTAGATAACTATCCTGATGTCAGGCAATGAAGCCTTAATGGTTACTGATAAATTCAAGATTTTAAAGGAGGAGTTTACTTAATTTTCTCTGGTGCAATGTACAATGGTTTTGATTTCTGCAGTTTCGTATGTCAAAAATTCACTTCTTAATTAGTTGTTTGAGACCTGAAACAGCCTATCCCATATGAACAATTTTATAAACAGGGTTAGGTTCCCAGAAGAGCTCACAAAAGCCTATTTGACCCAAGGGTATATAAAGAGTAGTACAATACCTAACAACCTTTCTCTCTTAGGTGAAATTACATTTTCAGTTCTAATCCGGGATACCTGAAACATATTTTCCTGTGGAAGTGGTAGCACCAGTGGTTCCAGAATTTGGGGATGGGAACTATGCTCAGGGCTCTAGAGAAAAGAGAGGTATATATTTACTGAAACCAAAAGAAGCCACTGCTCAATGTGTACAAGTGAGACTGTAACTCTGGGTCAAATCATCTCCAGCCATCTTAACTGGAGTAAAAAGACAGCTGTCCCCACAGGGGTCAAAGTATTCCACGTAACCTCCTCAGTCACCGAATCAAATGTTTAAAACTTTCTAAGAATTAAGTTGGCAACATTCTAAGTTTACATCAATCTATTTAAATCATAACAGTGACAATATATTGTGTCCTCCAGAATCTTGAAAAGAGCAACTACATAAACTGTCAGTAAGGTCATTGGTTTCAGGATATTTTCTCTGGCTAGTTCAATAATACAATGGAAAAATTCAGAATAAATAAAAATTTCTTATGAACACTAGCTTACAAATATTAGGACTTACTGTTTCCAGGTTTTCTAAAATACAAACATATTAATAGACGGAATGAGTCTGAATTTCTGCTTGTCCTGTCATATACAGAGGAAGGACTCTAGTAGAATAATATTAAATACAAAAATATTTTAAGAAAAATAATGATTTATTATGCTTTAAAATTCTTTTAATTATTATGTAATAATGGCCAAGAAAAATGAATTAGAAGTGTAACCTCTGTGGTTATATATATGACTAAATAATTGACCTTTTTTCCTCCTAAGGTCTAACATTAGTAAGAAAACCAAAGCATAGCTATAGAATTAAATCTATTGCAAAGAAGTTTAAATTTAAGATAAGGCAGTTAATATGGTAAATTAAACTAAACAAAGCTATATCATGCATCTACAATGTGCAAGACACTTGCACTATAAGAGGACAAAAGATAAGTTTAATATTAAATAGAGGAGATTAAGAACAATTATCAGTAGCTGAATTATCAGTATTCAAAGATAAAGTAAATGAAGGAATACACAAATAATTAAAACAAAAGCAGTCAATGAGAGAAAAATTTAATGAAGAAGGTCATATTTGACATGGGCTTTAAGAGAGGAACGTTCAACAGCCTGAAAATGGCGCAAATAGAGGGAGAACATTTCAGGAAGGAAGGACAGCATGAACAAAGGCAGACAGGAGGACAGTTCATCATGGCTTTTGGGATAGAAGGAATACAGTCTGGAAGGAGTTTAAGAGAACAATAGAGGAGTAGAAACGTAAAGGGAATAACAAGAAGTCAGCTTCATTTACGGTCAGGAAAAATCCCCGACACTGTCTATATAAATATTTACATTCTTGAAATTGTGGTCAAAAACATTTAATCCCCAAAGTTTTCCAGGACACACAGCCTGCAGTACAGGCAGAGGAGTTAAGTGGTCCTGTGAACTCCAGCAGATGAGAACTACAAAAACCAGATTTAAAAACACTATTCAAAATCCTAGACTGGGTCCAAAGCATAGATAGAAACTAAAAGAAAGTTTAATTTCAAAAAAACTGCAAATGGAAGGAGGATGAATTGTGAGCTATGGCTTCTCAGCACGGAGACGCTCTCTAGTTCTCATAGCTATTGCAGGAAAACAGGAGGGAAAAACTACACCCTTATCAACAAAATATGACAGACATTAGAGTCCAGGGCTGGAAACGTAGCTCGAAATTTAAGGGGAAAATACTGGTAGTGAAAGGTCCATGAAAGCAAAATGACCCAAATTCAGAACATAAACTATCCAAACCCAGGCTGACGGCTAAACTATGCACTAAAAAGAAATGAACTACTGATACTGATACTTGCAACAACAAAGATGAATCTCAAGAGTATTATGTTAAGTGAAAAGAAGTCAGAAACAAGAGACTCGAACTGTGTAACTATTTATATGAAATTCTAGAGAACACAAAACTCTAGTTACAGAAAGTAGAGCAGTGGTTGCTAGTGCTAGAGGTGAGAAGGAGGGGGACTGGCTGCTAACATTTTGGAGCGATAGATATATTCTACAACTTGACTGTGGTGGTGGTCACATAATATTATACATTTGTCAAAACTCATGAAAGTGTACACTTTAAATTGGTGACTTTTATTGTACATAAATTATATGCAAAGTTTAAAAAAAAACCCAAAATTTTCAAGAAGGATTTTTATTTCTTGCACAATTTACTAAGAACTGTGTCATTAATTGAGAGCTCCTCTACTACCCTCGATTCTACTTCCCCTTCCTGCTCTTTGCTTTAGAACCACTGTCCAAAATGAGAAATGTCACCAACGGGTGTGTTGCATATGTAAATAATGGGAAGGCTGTAAAAAAGGGGCAGGCCAAAGGAACTACCGGCCTAAGATGACATCCTTGGGAAAGATGAGATCAGGATTAGAGAAAAAATATTAGTCACTCTGGAAGGGAGGGAAGGAGCAATGCAAAAATGTTTCTTAAGGTGGTCTATTAAGTAATAGCTATGATCTAAGGAGAGCTCTACGATTAGTCTTTTTGATTTACATCCTCTACAACTACACTGTCCAAGACGGTAACCATTAGTTACAGGTGGCTATTGACATCTAATTTAAAGTAAATTAAAAATTAAGTTCCTCAGTCACATCAGCCACATTTCAATTCCTAAACAGACCTATTTGGCTAATGGCTATCATATTATAAAGCGTGGAAAACATTTCCATTATGAGAGAAAAGGCTATTGGACAGCATTACTCTACAATCTTCAGTTTCCAAATAAACTAAGACATCTTAAAAATAGAAAAAAGGAAACAAGGAAGAATATGTAAGAGTGAAACAGTACTTTGGTACTATAAAATGTTTACAGAAGAGCGATAAAATTGGAGGAAGTCAGACTTTAAAGTCACACAAAACTGAGTTCAAACTCCAAGCTCGTCGCTTACTAGTGTGCAACCCTGGGTAAATTATTTCCCAGCACTTCAACTGAAGAAACGAATACATAAAATGAGTATAACAACACTTTGTAAAAGCTATCTCAGAGTTGCTGTAAGGATTAAATGATATAAGAAGTACCTAATGAAGTGCCTGACACATAGTATAAATATTAGTTCCTTAGTTTAATTCCAACTAAGGATAATTTTTAGCATGTTCGAAACCTGGTATTAGCAATTGGCAACTTCTTTTATTTTACAGTTCACAATTTTGATTAAGATAAATCTACCAACTACCATTTCCTTGAATTTTTAACGATATAAATGTATACTACAATACACAAATAAATCACTTTTCAAAACAAAATGGTATATACTTTTAATTAAAAAAGAGTTAATTCTTACCTTAGATGAAATGATCCGGTTATCTATAAATTTCTGAGGTGTGTAAAGGCCACTCTGAGGAAACCTGTTGGCTATGTAAATGGTTCTTGAGTCACTTTGATGTGGTGGGTCAAAACCCTGAGACCAAGCAAAAGAAAAAGCAATAATGGTCAACAAGGCTAGTTGTTATGATTCTTTACTGGTTTCATTTATTTATTTTTCTTTAAAGATTGGCACTTGAGTTAATATCTCTTGCCAATCTTTTTCTTCTTCTTCTTCTTCTCCCCAAAGTCCCCTAAAACATAGTTGTGTATTATAGTTGTAGGTCCTTCTGGTTCTGGTATGTGGGACGCCGCCTCAGCATCGGCTGATGAGCGGTGCTAGGTCCGTGCCCAGGATCTGAACCGGTGAAACCCTGGGCCACCAAAGCAGAGTGGGCGAACTCAACAACTTGGCCATCAGGGCAGCCCCTACTGATTTTATTTAATTGATTAGATTACACATATAATCACTGGCCTTGAACTGCACAGACATTCAATCTATTTAATTATTAGGAGAGGTAAGCCATATACTTTTTTCTTTCATAGGTAAACAGGCACATTATCTTCAGATATAAACCAACTTGATAATACTTCCAGTAATGAAAGACAGTCCATACTCTGTCAGAAACACCACCACAAGAAAAAAAAATCATACAGAAGACATACAGAAGCATTTGAGGACAAAGTTTCTTTCCTTCCCTTTCATTCCTGTGGGGTTTCTTGCTTTTTTCTTAGGATGGATTCCTACTCAGTGATGTGGAAAAGTCTCACAGAGCTCTGGCCTAGTCAGCACCTACCACATCTGATGACAAAAGTTTATATTTTATTTCTTCCACATCCAGATCAACTTGGTTTCAAAGTTCTTTGCTCCCAGAAGACTTACAATGCTTTGGGTAGTCTTGCCCAGATTCATTCTACAAAAAAAAATCATCTCTTTGTGCTAGTTACATTATCAATCGTCTCCCTGAAAAATGAATATATGTTATAATTCTAGCCTCAAGGTCCTCAAGACCATCTCTCAAGGTACATTTAGTAACGATCTCTAGTGGAAAAGTTTTCACTGGTGACAAGAATAGTGATATTTTATTCCTACAGTATTGTACTTTTTTCCTGGATGGCAAGTAAGTCTTCAATACTCTTTTGTAGATCTTGGGAACTCCTTGACAGGCTGAAAGCAATCATCAAATGCAAGACCTTTTTTGGGTTCTAACAGGCAATGATTTGAAATTTCTTAGATTTTCATTTTTTTCATGGTGGCCAAGGGCTATGTACTAGTATTACTACGTTATTAAAAGGTCAATTAAACTTGGTATTCATAAACTACAATGATTCATTTTTAGACATTAAGGACTCTAACTTAGTAATCTACTAATTAAGTAATGTGGCTGCCTGATTCAATACTTAGCATCCCTGTAAAATTTCCATTAAGCACACATGTAGACAGTCGACATCCCCATATTATGTAGAGGATTATTTTGTTCAGTACATCAGAATATTAACAGTGTTATGTATGGTTTCCAATTGCTGTTATTCTTGGTTTTAAAAAATTTATTTTGTGATCTTAGAAACAACTAGTACAGCACTGTGCAAATTAAATGCTTTGTATGCTCCATAAAAAAAGCATGGTTTAACTTTACTTGTTTATGCTATTGATATTGATGACCAGATTTTGTAGATGTGAATGTGCCATTATTTGTCTGATTTCAAAATCAGTTTCTTCAAGGACAAAATGTGGCATGCATATTTATTTTTCTCATAAATTTTCTTTTAAATATTTCACAACTGTGCCCTGTAATAACTCATGGGGGAAAAACGGCATGTCTCACAATCAGAGTTGGAACTCATTCCTCCATCTAGAATATCACAATCATTTTAAAGATACATGCCATTTAATTCATTCAACAAATATTTATTGAGTTTAAGTTCTATGTTAAGCCACGAAGAATTACGTGATTTGTTATATACTCAAGCAAACCATAACACGCTCAAACTCAATAAATAATTGAATGAACAAACAAATACTTGGAATGTGACTGCTATGGTCTATGGCTGTATTTCTCAAAGGGGGTTCACAGGAAGTTTGCCTGTGAAATTCATCAAGTTATAAGAGGGACACACAGGTAACTGAAGCATTAGACTGCAAGAGGCACATTTATTCAACATCCACTCTATAACCATGTTAACATAACACTAAGTTACACAACAAGCATGTGAGCTTCTGGGATAAATGAAAGAAAAAAGAAAGTAAATTTGAGCATCTAAAAGAATATATAAATCTTTAAGATGCCGCCAAGACAATGGAGACTGAGAACCACTGATACAGAATTTTATTTTTTGCTAAATTCTACCAAGATTGAATTTTACTACTAGGGACATCTAACATTAAGAACAAAAACAAAATGAAGACCCACCTAAAAATATATATATTTTTTATTTTTTACTACATATTTATACGTATATATGTATGTATATATAAATAAATGCATGCACTTCCCAGAAGCAAACGCTCATGATTCTCCATTCACTTCTACTGGATATACCAGTGATCAATGCTAAAGTTCTGGAACTCTTGAGATTTCTACAATTACTTCAAGGGGACACATTGAAATGTTCCAAAAATAAAATCAATTTTAAATTAAATTTTAAAGTCAGCATGATCTTATCCAATCATGTTACAATCAGTGGCATGCATATACACGTGGGTGTGTGTATTTTTCTCCCACACAAAATAGTTGGGTTTTATATTTGTTACTGTAATGTAAGTACAGCTAAATGTCCCTTATGGAAATTAAACCTATAATTTCATTTACTAGCATCATCATCTTTCCAACAAATCAAACCAGCCACAAATTAAATAAAAATAAAAGAATAAAACTGTCCAACAGTGAAGAAAGTGAATTAGAGCAGGGTCCATAAATGGGGTTCAGGTCTGTGAATCTCTGAAACTGCATGCAAATACGCATTTTTCTGAGAGTGAACACCGTTTTTTATCAGATTTTTATGATGTAAAGAAGCTTAAAGCAACTTAAGAAAAGTCTTGCTTTTGTAATCAATTCCCTATCTCAATATCCGTATTTTAAAAATGACACGAGAATCCTTATGTTTCAATAACACCTCTACTTTCTTTAACAGAAGTCAAAACAAACCTCTGTTATCAGAATTAATTGTGTAACTATACTGTTAGTGTGAAGTTCAAGTATAGTTTCACACTATTTCTAGCAAGATCAGCAATTCTATGGCACTAAGAAAGAAATACAATCTGAACTCCCTAATCACTAGGTCAAGGCTACATGCCAGTGTTCAGAAACCTTTGGCACATATCACATTTTCTGTTGTCATCCCACACTACCCATTCACAGCCTCAAACCCCTGATGCTTGCCTGCTCCTTTCTTCTCTGATTTCATCTTGTCCCAGGCAAAGGAACTAAGACAGATTAATGCTATTCTAGCCACCATGATTTTATTTTAATACCTGCTAAAAAGTAGAATCTATGCTCTGCAAGCACACATATTTAAACTATTTAAAAATAAACACTCATACTCCAAAAAAGTATGAAATTCAAAACCTCTTTTCTCTTCTGTTTGGATTTGTGAGCATATGGCAAATCCACAGGTACTAAAAAAAAAGAAAGAAAGTGGGTGAGTATTTAAGGTGGAAAAAAATCTCATAGTGGCGATCAGGGGAAGAATTGACACATGGGACTGATTTGCAAGAGACTCTTGTAACCAAAAACTTATGAGGCCTAGGGAAATCAAATCAGCCAAGAGCTTTATAATTTTTAGAAGTTGATCTTTGACAGAAAGCAGTAGTTGGAAATGAATCATAACATTTTACATTTTCATACCAAATACACCAGCCTCTATACTATGTTAAAATGCCAAAGAGTTATGAAAAATACAAGCATTACAAATAAAGGACCTAAGAAGAGATTAAAACTATAGTCCTATAACTATTGTCACACTTTTTTAACATAACTAAAAAAAATCATCTTTAGAGTTCACAGTGATCCAAGTAAATTTGTGACTCTTAAAATTCTTATATGTGATCTATTTCCTCCATAATAGAAAGAAAAAGCTTCAAAACAGACACAAAAAACCCCAAACACAACAAAAAGGTGGCTATTACTAAAAAAAAAATAAAAACAGAAAACAATGAGTATTGGTGAGGATGTGGAGAAGTTGGAATCCTTGTGCACCGCTGGTGGAAATGTAAAGTGGTACAGCCACTGTGGATATAGTATGGTGACTCAACAAAGGAAACACAGAATGACCATGTGGTCCAGCAATTCCACCTCTGGGTATATACTTAGAAGTGAAAGCACAGACTCCAACAGATATTTGCACACCCATGTTCATGGCAGTATTATTCACAACAGCCAAAAGGTACAGGCAATCCAAGTGTTCACCGAGAGATGATGGATAAATACAATGTCGTACACACACACAACAGGATATTATTCAGCCTTAAAAAGGAAAGAAATTGTGACACATGCTACAACATGGATAAACCTTGAAGACACTATGTTAAGTGAAATAAGCTTGTCACAAAAGGACAAACATTGTATGATTCCTTTTATATAAGGACTAAGAGTAGTCAAATTCATAGTCTGCCAGGGCTTTAGTGAAGAGAGCTAGTGTTTAACGGGTACAGAGTTTCAGTCTGGGAAGATGAAAAAGTTCAGGAGATGGATGGCGGTGACAGCTGCACAACAATGTGAATGTACTTAACACCACCAAACTGTACACTTAAGAATGGTTAAAATGGTAAATTTTACGTTATGTATATTTTACCACAACTAAAAATAACAATTTCACCCATTTGGGACTTTACCATGGATTTTCTGGATTAGAAGAGTCCTATTTAGCCATAATTTAACCATGAGTAATAAATGCCTCATTTGCTAGACTGGTAATTATTATGTATGGAATTACATAGATGGAATCAAAGAGACATTTATGATAAAAATAAATGTGTGAGGTTTCAGTTCAGATCAAATTTAAAAGTCATAGGTCTGAGTAAGGAAGAATTTAAGGTTTCTATAACCAAGAACCCTAAATTTGATTTTTTTGCTCTGCCTATCCAGTTGAACATTGGCT